TCTGTATGTGGGATCCGAACCCTCGGGCGGGAGCGCCGCCGCGCTTCCCAAGCGGCGCACTATCCAGTGCGCCACCGGGCCGGCCCATATAACAAAACTTTTAAAGTCACTTTGTCTTTCATTAACAATGCTTGAGCACCCTAATTTTATCTTTTTTTAATGCTATTTTTAAAGCAACAGTGGAGGTAAGAAAATATCATTTACCCTTGAAAATATTTTTAGCATGGTCTTACTAAAATTAAAAATACCATTTAACAAAGTGAAGCAGCAAAAGTATTAAGAACATGAACTGGAGTCAGTGGTCTGTCTTGGTTGAAATTAGCTCCATAATTTACTAACTATGACATCAGACAAGTTGCTTAATCTTTCTAAAATGTCATCCTCAGCAAGAGAAAAGTCTGCAAAGAACTTCTGTACTTCTACTTTTGTAACATCAAATGGAAAATTTCTTATATATAATGCACATGAAACAGAGGTAAATAATAAACCCTGTACTACTTAGGGCATATTGAGATTATGCATTTAAAGCGCTTATAGTGCCTACAACATATTAAGTGCCCAATAAATGTTAGTCATTAGTATTATTATATATATAGCAATTCTTGTAAAATGTCTACCCTAAATGTTAAATATCAAAGTCATCTCACAAGTCTTACACTTAGTTATTGAGTCTCTGAATGGATACAGTTTTGAAGCTAAAAAATAAGAATCTAATAAAACATACAAGTTATATGAATCATCAGTAAATTCTTCCAAGAAAAACAAACTATCCATTTGTCAGACTCTTCCCAGCATAACCCTGAAGAGTCCCTTTGGACCTATAATCAGTTTTACTTTACTGTCTTTTGAGTATTTTGTGTTAATCTTCTCAATTGAAGATGTTGAAGAAACCACAGCACTACACCTAGGCACTATATATTATTACTATAGACTGTTTGGTCTCTCCCATAATAAAAACAGTTTAACATAGCTACTGAAAAACTTCACAGTACCAAGCAGCAATTCTTTTTTCATTTACACAAATACAAGTTAATTAGTTGCTCTATTCAGTTGCAATTTTTTTTTTATTTTTATAAAACTTTGCAAAGTTACGAACATGGAAATTTTAAGAATTTCCTAAGCTTTTTACATAAGTAAATTTCAAGGTTCACAGTCTGTCCATTTTTAACTATTTGTAATTAACAGGAGGCTTAACACAGTAATATCTCACACAAGAAAGAAGGCATTAATTCTGAAGGCAGGCAGCAATGAAAATGCCAAACCTGGACAGTCAGTCACTGACCATTTCCTTATACAGTATGAGTAAAAAAAAGTTAACTACAGAATGAAATAAAAGTGAATATAAAATTTATCTTCCCCAAATACAACTCTATACAAATCTTAAGGTTTTCCCATGACATCAACAAAAATTAATAAGCTCAAGGAACTGAATTAGTTGTCTCCTCTGTCAAAGAAAAAAAGCATAGATAATTTTAACTTAGGAAAAATGAATGGCAATTTCCAAGCAAAAGAAAACCAGATTCACATTCTATTTACATTTGTTCTATTCACAGGTCAAAATTAAAATATTTCTTTTCACGAGATCATTAAAAATAAACTTTTAAAAGAACAAAGGCATTTTACTGCATTAATACTGTGGGATGATAACTCTGAACTTAATAATGTTCTCTAAAGCAAAATTAACTTAACTTTGCGGGGGCCAACTGGCCTATCATTGAGATCTTTAATAGCAGCCATAGCTTCATTATAGTTTATCATAGCTACAATGGCTTCCCCTGTAGGTAATCCTTGCTCATTATACTGTATTGATACTGAATCGGGTATGATTCTATAACCATGGAAAAAGTCTAAAATTTCATTAACATTAGCTTTAAATGGAAGATTCATTATCTTAATAGGAGTTACTCTACCTGAACCACAATCTAACTTTGGATCAGGCATAAATCTCCCCTCAGGAAAACCTCCCATATTACGCTTTCCAAAATCAAATTTGCTACCTTCTGGGCGACCAAAAGTCCCAAAAGGGCGGTGACTTCTAAAATCATCAGACGGGCTCCTAAAACCCTCAGCAGGAGGTCCAAAATTGTCGTGAAGTCTAGGGTCCTCCTCCGGAGCTTCCCTGATGTCTTCCTCAGGGAGTTGCCGAAAGTCCTCATCAGAAGGACATCTAAAATCTTCTTCCTGATGGCTCCTGAAGTCCTCATCAGGAAGGCACCTAAAGTCTTCATCAGGAGGGCCCCTAAAGTCCTCATCCAGTGGATTTCTGAAATCTTCCTCTCGGGAGCGCCTGAAATGCTCCTGGGGAGGCCGCCTGAAGTGCTCCTGGGGAGGCCGCCTGAAGTGCTGCTGGGGAGGCCGCCTGAAATGCTCTGGGGGCAGTCGCCTAAAACGCTCTGGGGGTGGTCGCCGGAAGTGCTCCGGGGGCGGTCGCCTGAAATGTTCCTGGGGTAGTCGCCGGAAGTGTTCCTGGGGTGGCCTCCGAAAGTGTTCCTGGGGTGACCGCCTGAAGTCCTCCTCAGGGGAATGCCTGAAGTCATCCTCTGGGAGCCGCCTGAAGTCCTCCTCTGGGGGTCCCCTGAAGTCCTCCTCAAGGGGTTGCCTGAAGTCATCCTCGGGTGGTCGCCTCCAATCCCCCTGAGGAGGTCGCCTGAAGTCCTCCTCAGGTGGCCGCCTCCAGTTATCCTCAGGTGGCTGCCTGAAATCTCCCTCTGGGGGTGGCCTGAAGTCCTCCTCAGGGTACTGCCCAAAATCCTCCTCCGATGGCCTCATCCAGTCCTCCTCAAAAGAGGGTCTCCAGTCCTCCTCCCTATGGTGCCTGAAGTCGTCCTCTGAAGGGTGCCTGAAGTCCTCCTCAGAAGGCCGCCTGAAGTGCTCCTCCCGAAGGCACCTGAAGTCCTCCGGAGAGCGCCTGAAGTCCTCTGGGGAGTGCCTGAAGTCTTCTGGAGGCCGCCTATCAGGCTTTCGGAAATCCCCCTGAGGATGCTTGAAGTTATTCAGTTGGCCCAAGTCTTCTATCTGATGCCTAAAGTTTTCCGAAGGGCCAACTGAGTATCCTTGTGGGTCTTTTGAGTCAAATATATGTGAACTGTCATCTCTATCACATGACCGTGAACGGGCTGGCATTTTCTCACTGGACATCAAGGAAAAATTTACACCAAACTCCTGCATTTGCGCCTCAGATATAAGTCTTAATAATACCTCTGTCCCTAAGAATCTTCGCCGGTTTAAGCGTTCAGCTTTTATGGCTTGTTCTTCTGATTTAAATTTCACCAATGCTTCTCCCAGACCAACTCCTTTATCATCATAGAGCAAGCAAATGTCATCCTCAGCAAGAGAAAAGTCTGCAAAGAACTTCTGTACTTCTACTTTTGTAACATCAAATGGAAAATTTCTTATATATATGCACAGCTTCTGACCACAGTAGCCTTCTTGAGAGTATTTTTGTGAAATATATCTAGGCCTCTCTTTTTCTATTGACCCTGACCTCTTCTTTTCATAACATTCAATGAACTTCAGCATTTGTTTTCTAGAAACTGGATCAATATGAACTGGACGATACTGCAAAACAGTCTTATGTAAACCCAGAGCAGTATTATAGTCTTTCTGGGTCTTGAACATCACAAAGGCATATCTTGTTCTTCTTTCATCTTTATATAAAAACCTAATCTGTTCATTAGTCAAATCAGTATCTCTAAAGAAATTTCTTAAATCCCTTTTGTTAATACCTAGGGACAGATTTTTTAAGTGAACATAAAATCCAAGAGGAGAACGAGAACGTGTTCTTCTGGGAGATTTTGAATGAGACCGTTTTCGAAAATGTCTATCTTTAATTCCTCTTGATGGAGAATGTTCTTCAGTTCTCATAGGAATATCACCCTCCCTTACCGCTTTACCACCAAACTCAATCCACTGTTGTTCTGAGCCTTGCATTACTTCTATAAATCTTGAACCCATAAAACTTCTATGACATTTAAGACCTCCTGAAGCATCAATACATGAAGCAAATTTTACTACAGCATCACCATTATTTCGGCCATCATGATGTTTTAGGAAAATTACTCCATCCACACACAAACCAGAGAAAAAGACACGTACGTCATCTTCATTTACTAAGTAAGGCAAACCTCGCAGAAACAAATAAGGATTCTCGGCCTTCAATGGCCTTGTTTTTCTTGGCCTTAAATCACCATGTCCTGTACCATTAGTGTGAAACCCATCATCTTGATTAACCGAAGAGCCATATCCAGAATTACTTGCTTCTTCCTTACCGATCTTGATAAAATTAGATTGGCTGCCAACCCCTGATGCCCCAGATCCTGATCGCCCTCTTCCTACATGATCAGTTCTTTTCATTTCTATAGTCTTCTGCATTTCTGCCTTGCTACTAAGAAAGAGCTCTACAGATGAATTCTTGATAAACCCTCCTGAACGACTTATGGCACGTCTTGCATCTTCATCTGTTGCAAAAATAATAAAAGCCTCCCCAATTTCCCCTCCAATAATATGCACTCCTCCATCAGGAATAGTCAATCCCGTGAAGAAGTGACGAATATCCACAGGCCCCGCAATAAAAGGAAGCCCCAGTAAACGGATGACTACAGCCATGCTGAGCTCAAACCACAGCAATAATGACCTGCAGACAAAAAGGTACACATAATAGCAAATCTTATTTTTGAAGCACCTTAGCCCAAACTAAGCTTAATAATTACCTGGTTCCTGCCTCCTTCAGCTTTTATAAATGAAAACAAGATACACGTTCACAAAAATATTGATCATATCTAATTCTTAAAGAAAACACGAAATAAACTTTCTCCTATGTAAACATACAACTAAATCAACTACCTTGAAGAAACATTTCGTATCACCTATCCTACACAAATAGGAGCATCAAAAATATCAAATATTCCTTTGTAAGTCTGCCAAATGCTGCTTCACAACCAGACCAAACTTCTTTCAGACTCATTTAGAAACATAACTTCTACTGAAACATGAGAATGCTTTAATTAAAATATTTTACCAACCACAATGAATTTTACATAGTTAGAAAAGCCATCTATGGTCAGTATATGATTTCTGCTCATGGTAATAAATTGCCTTACACTAGTGCACCACTGGCCAGACATAAAGAACAGAAGCCACAGTACCTAGATATGCTATTCTACTTTACATGATTTTTGTTAAGCCTCAAACTCTGGATATCTTACCTTGTTTTTTTTTAAATTTCTTGGAGACCTGTTAATTCTGTAAAAGCAACTTAACTGTGGAAAGAAAATGAAATATAATTAATCCTTGAACCGTGTAATTGACCTTAACACCAGATTAGGATATCCATTTCAGAATTACCTATCAAAAGTGAAACAAAATAAGGAACAATTATGGGCATTACAAAATGGTCTTCTTTGTTCAAAGGGGAAATTAATCATCCTTCTGCATAAAGAAGGTACAAAATCCAAGTAGACATCTGCAAATTATTAAAAAATAAAAAACTTGCTGAAAATTAAACAACTGCTCCTTGATTGGAAGTAGCGTAAGGAAAAGAGTGAGGGCAATGTTATGTATTTTGAATGCAGTGGTGGTTAAATGGGTGTATTAATTTATCAGTACTCACTGAATTATATTATTAAGGTCTATGCATTTTGCTGTAAGTTTTACATCCACTTTATAAGAAAAAAACCTGTTCTACAAATGTCAATTTTAAAATGCCAAAATTAAAAAAACCTTCCATCCCTTCCTCTCATGAAAATGCAAACATCTAGTTCATATTTATATCCAACTTTCTTGCCATTCTCCTCCCCTGTCAAAACATAAGACCAACTCAAATTAATAAGGCAACTATTCAAAATGATACAATAAATAAAACACTAAAGCTTAAAATTCAAAAACCAATTTTGAAAGCAATAAATCCAAACCTATGGCTACCATTTAGATACAATTTTAAGTTCTAAATACACAGCTCATACTTCCAAACATGGAACCAAATTTCATGATTCCAATATAATTATAGAAAATACCACAATATCCCTAAAATCAAAAATCTCAGTAAAACTCCTTATCTTATAATCCTAAACAATAACTATTAATTTCAAGCCAAATAGAAAATGTTGAGATAAATATACAATCTTAACATGCCAATAGCCTCATTCCACTTCAAACAACTATTCTGCACTCTACTGAGGAAACCCAAATGACAATGTAGGAAGGTAAAAAAAAAAAAATTTTTTTTTAAGGGTACTTGCATCTAACACTTTCAGGGATAGCCAAACTAACAATATTTAATGAAATCTTACCAATTAAGTTTTTAAGACCTGCCAAATTAATAAATATAATTTACATATTTTTAACGTGCAAATAAATGTTGCTTTACACCTGTACGTACACTTAAGTACCGCTGTTCCACCAAGTGGGGTCTAAACACATATTCATTGAGGTCTGCAAGATTTGTTTTCCTTTCAAAAGGGTTCATAGATTAAACTTTTTAAACTCCAAGCTAAACTAACAATGTTATCAAGAAATCACTTGGCACCTTCCACATCTGAAAAATATTAGTGAGGTTTACAATTAAATATCTGCACAGTACCAAAAAAAGTATAAGTCTAATTTCTTCAACAAACCAATATCCACACCAACACTTCAACAAAAACTATAAATGGCTTCACAAAAGTTCCAAGACTCTCTGCTATGCAAACTGATTTAGCTACTTTACTTTTCAGATATTTTAGAAAGTAGTATAACATATTCATCATCTTGTCTCTCCTTTCTTAAAAATTTAAAAGATATACCCTGAGAACATAAATTCGTTTACAAGTAAGAAAAATTAGAGATGTTTCAAGGAATAGTTAATTACATGTCAAATTCTAAAAACCTCTAGTAATTTATCTTCCCTAACTTAAAAACTATCTTTTAACTAAGTAGTTTCAGGAACACAAATCTCATGGATTTCAATTCAGGCTAACTATTTAAAAAGTCTGTTCTCATTTGCCAGTTAACTGTAACTAATGCTTTTCCTTTCAGGTGGTGGGTACTGTACCATTTATCCCTCTACAATAACACACCCAGTAGACCCACACATAAGAGACCAGTTCACTAAATGAGCATTTCTCTAGTTCCAATATGCTATTTGTTAAGCAAATTCCTCAGAAATTATTAACAGATAAGATTACACAAAAAGCAAAACACACCAATTACCCTAAAGTACTCTGCACTTAAATTTTTCTGGTTATGAATGCAAACGTGTTTTTGTGACTTTGTGTGACATAAAGACACAGTGATCTGTTAGAACTTCACTAAAAAGTGGATTCCTAAAAGATCATTTAAGGATAAGTCACTGAAATTAAAAGCGCATTTTAAGTAACTTTTATGATTTTATCCAGAGTCATCCCACCTAATCACCAAACAGTAAGAAAAGTGCATCTTCTAATTAAGAATGAGAAAGAAACAGGGGAGGGAGGCTGATTTAAATAACTATTATCTCAGATCCATTTGCTTTTAATTAGCGTATAAAAAGTCATTTTCCAAACAAGGTGAGAAAGAAAAAACTTTTACTCTGCCTGCGGCTATTTCTTAAAACCCAAAGTTATGATTATTCAAATTCTAAACGAGAGCTTCCCCTGCAAAAATTAATTTACCCCAGGTCCACAATTATTCTTTGTGATGATCTGCCTTTTATAATGTAGATGGTTAAAATAAAACCAAAGGCATGACCACACAGAGCCATACTCCCCAACAGGATCTGTCAAAGACGAATCCACATGGCACAGGATCTCCCATAACATCCATCATCCTCAAACGGGAATCATCCGAAGGCATCGATCCTACAGCCCAAAGCCTTTGTCCATACTCCCAGGGATCAGAGCTTCCTTCTTTCGAGCCAGGCCAGTTGCTACGTGGGATCCGAAGCCGTCGCCAGACCTTCAGCCAAAATCGGCCTTCAAATTAACCTGGACCGCCCAACCTCCGTGCCTTTCTGTTACGCCGTCCCAAGGGCAAACATTCCACCTTAACTTGTCACATGGTGAACGGCCCCCAAACCGACCTGAAACACTTTCGCCCCTCTCAAGGCTAACGAGACCGGCCTTGAGCGATTTTCTGCCACCACTGACTAGGGATGACATAGCAATGAAAAAAATACCTATGAAATCCTTCGAGATCTTCACTCTCAAGATCACTGGGAAGCGCACACGCACCACCGCAGGGAGGCTGACGGGAGAGGGAGAGTCGGTGTTTAGCAAGAAAAGAGGTTGCCCTGACCGCAGAAGCTACCTAGACACCGTTGCGGCCGCCGGCCCCGCCTTTCCCTGTTCTTCCGCCTCGCCGCCAACCCCTCCCCACCCCCGACGCCCCAAGGGTAACTGCTTCGGACTTGGCAATAAACACACACCACTGCTGCCGAGTCGGACGCACAAGGTCGAGGGCCGGGGCACTCCTCGTCGCAGCAGCCTCCCCAAAACAAGTAGAGCCCTCAGTGAAACGAGAAGAAGATGGCGCCCACTCTCGCCTCAGGTCCGGACAAACGGACGTAGTTTGTCTGCCCATGCGCTCTCCAGGCGAATCCCACCGCCTCAGTGCCTCGGCCACGCCTGCGCACGCGCCCTGATGCTAACCCGCTTCCCCTTGTTAAGGGAAAGGAGGCGGAGCCCTGGGGTTTGCTATGCTTCCGCGCATGCCCAGATCCTAGCCAACCCGGGATCCTCGACCTGGAAAAGGCGAAATTCGGAGACGGTTAGGGCTAGATAACTGCCGAAATACACTGGACCAATATTTGAGATTTGCATGAGTTAAGGGAAAAGTTGCAAAAGCAGAAAATGTTGGCAATTCCTTTGCCTTTTCAGTGTTGCAGTTAGTGTGTGATATAAGCATCTTTGAAAAGGCTCTTGTAAATTCTGAAAGGCCACAGAAGTGTTAATTTTACTGCCTTCTTAGATGTTCGCCAGATACAATGCCAACATCTAGGGGCTTACTAAGTACATGCTTAATCAGTTTTATAGACAATAACCTTGTGAAGTGTCTTTATAAATTCAAATTTGCTGTTCCCATTTTCTGGTTTTTTGAAAACAGGCCAGTTCCAACCTTGTGAAGTGTCTTTATAAATTCAAATTTGCTGTTCCCATTTTCTGGTTTTTTGAAAAGAAAACAGGCCAGTTCTGAAAATTGAGAAATTAAAAGTACAATTATGAGTATGTTCTGTGATGCCTTCTACATAATAGCTGTTGAACAACCTTGTGTTTGGTTTTATTATCTGCAAATAACGAAGAAGCCCATTACATTTTATAACCACGATGCATTTATGTGTGGATTCAAAGCTCACTAAGAAAGCTTTAAATTTTTAAAACATTGTTACAGATGAGAGAAAAAATGAGTTTTTTATCCCTCTCTCACTGCAAAATACCCATTCTTAAATTTAACGATATGATTGTCAGAAAGAAGAGGTAGTTCCTAGAGGGAAAGCCACCTTTCAATCACTTAGACAAAGTACTTAGCCTCTCTGTGCCTCGGTTTCCTCATATTTAAAATGGGGATAATAAAGGTACCTTCCTCTTAGGGTTGTGGGAAATGTTGAATGAATATGTATGTCTCAGATAGGTGTAAATATCTGAGACTATTATATGTATTAGTGACTTGTTTCAAATATTAAGGTGATCCATAGAGAAGCAGAAGATGTCACCATGACGAGTGAGGCTCATTGACTAGGTATAATTTACCTCAATAATCCAGAGTGGTCCTTCCTTCGCCAGGCTCTGGAACCTGACCTTAAAAGCTAACATTTATTGAGGGTTTATTATGTGCCAAACCTTATGCATTATCTCATTTTATTCTTACAACTAGTTTCAAAGATAGGTACTATTGTTTTTCCTATTTTACAGGAAAGGGAAACTGAGGCACAGAGGATTACAAAGCTTGCCAAAGGTCTCAGAGACACTACAAGATAAAGCCAGGAATTGAACTCTGGTGGTTTGCCTCCAGAGGCCACTACGTTGTATTACACAGGGGGAGGATTTTATGCTCTGAGGCAGACTCCCTCTAAGCAAGCACATAGAAGAAATGCTCCAGAATGTCAATATTGTCAGTATTCATTCACAAGAAGAAACACTAGTAAAACAAACTTAGGATCAACTCAGGCTGACCAGCACTTTCCTGGTCTGTGTATGCTTTCTATATGAAGTCAAATGATCAAAGAATTGTTTGCTAAGCATGGAAATAGAATACAAGGAGTTACCTAGTCTCAAAAAGTGATTCCCACTTAAAGCTACCTAGAGGCATCTCACCCATCTTAACAAAAATAACAGCTATCAGTTAATGAGCACTTATTATAGGACTCACCTGGCCAGTGTGCTCAAATCAGATTCTCTCCCCTGAACAGGCTTAGACAGGCATTACTAGCCTGCTATTGTCTCCTTCATTGTTCTGGGCTGACCATCCCCCTTCTATTCACATAGACTTTCTCCAAATAGGACACCATCATGGATGTCTATCTTGTCTAGTCTGCCACCTGCCTTTCTCTAATGATCATACCATTATAATCAAAAAAGAAAACTCTGATCAAGGTCATTTGGGTATAATCACATGGTATTCTGATTATCGAATAGTTTCTTGTGACTTTTGTGTGTCAGCATGAAAACCTAACCATTTTGGGTAACAGAGAGAAAATGAGGTTTCTGGAACAGCAAAATATAAGACTAGACCCTAAAACATGGTGACCACAGTGAACTATGGCCATTCTGTGACTCTACTTAGACAGCCTTCCCAGGCATTTTGCCACAACTGTAGCACCACCTACCCTCATGAATGATTTTAGTATCAGACAGTTTTCAGCTGCCCTTTCTAGCTCTTCAGCATCCACAAGAACAGCCTTTTATCATTTGCTCTGAGTTTCTTGATCTTCTTGACTTCTAAGACCTTCATTCGAATTGCATACCCTGACCTCCATTCAATCCAGCTGGTATTTACTGAGTATGGACTGTGTGTCAAGCACCTTGCTAAGGCTCCTGGAAGACAAACATACACAAAACACAGTCCCCATCCTCAAGAAGCTCATACTCTAACAGAGGAGAAAGCACACACATTCAGCCAGTCATTACACCCATGAAGATGTGTACAACATAGAGATTAAGATCATGGGCTCTCATGTCAGGCAGACCCAAGTGTGAACCCAGGTCTGCCACTACATGACTGTAAACAAATATCTTATCCTTAAACTTCACCATTTGTGAAGATAATAGTACCCACCAAACAGAGCAGTTATGAGGAATAAATGAAATAATGCTTGTAAAACACTTAGCACCATTCCTAGTACATAATAAACTTCAGTATTCCTTAGAAATCAAGAAAGCTGGCTCAAAAATCAGAATACCATATTTCCAAATCTAACTCTGCCACTTGCTAGCTGTATCACATTTGTTGCTGAATTTCTCTGTGCCTCAATTTATTCATCTATCAAATGAAGACAATAATAGTAGGGCTATTGTGTAGAAAAAATGAGCTAAATAGGGCTGGCCAGTTAGCTTAGTACGTTAGAACATGATATTATATCACCAAGATCAAGGGTTTGGATCGCCATACCAGCCAGCTGCCAAAAAAAGAAAATGAGCTAAATACATAAAACTAAGCAGGACACATAGTAAAGTTCCGAGACGGGCATATAACCTGAAATCTTACATATTGTTCTGGTGGTCCTCATGCTCCTTGCCAACTTGTTCTCTACAGTGGTCCTTAGAGGCACATCTACAAAACCCCTTGGGATTGCTGGAGCATAGTATAGACACTGACTAAAAGGATCTTAGTCAGCTATATATGACAGAAGTCATATCCGAGAGACTTAAAAAAAAATCAACAAATGATTGATGTGCAGTGATAAGAATTGAATAGAACCACCCACATTCCAACTTGGATAATTTCTTGCCTGAGGTAAAAGGGAGTTTTGTCTCCAACATGGAAATATGAAACAGACTGGGATCCAGGACACTCTATAGGTTAACAAAGGAAGCATGTAGAAAGAATACTGGATAAAATCTCTGTGTTTTACTACTGAAACTTTGGACCTCCAATCTCAGTAGAATCCATTTCTAGGACCACATGTGAAACAGGACACCTCCTTCTGCTTAGGCTTCCTTTGCTCTGGGTTCCATCCAATTCCAGGTATGTAAAACAAAAGGAAGAAGCAAGAAGACTTAAAAGTCTAAACACAAACTAAAGAGAAAGAATCTAAGGAGAAAACAAAAAACAAAAGAGAATCCAAAGACCATATCATTGGACACAAAAAAAATTCTGTCTCTTAGGACTATGGCCAGAGGACTTGTGGTTCTGACCCTAACCCATATTTACCCTCTGCCCTCTTCCCAGGGATGAAATGAAAGGAGAAAGCATTGAGCTCCCCTTAGAGTTTGGAAGATGACAAACTAGAGGAATGAGGCAAGTTTTGATTTATTTTTTTCCATTGCAATGAATGTGTATTAAATTCTTACAATATGCCAGGCACAGATCCACTACTGTGACAGTGGTGAATAAAAACACACATAGTCCTTGCTCTCATGAAGCTTGCAATCCAGGAGAGGGGAGGAAAAACCAATGAAAGGATTACCTGACTAAATGTAAATTTACAACAGAGGTAAGTGCTACAAAAGGGAAGTACATGGTGCTGTGAGCGTATTTCATAGGAGGGCCTGGCCTGGTCAGAAAGCACAGGAGATATTCCCTAAAGAAGTGATGAGTGAGCTGCAAAGAAAGGAGGAGTTGAAAAGGTGAAGGGAAATGGCTGGGAAGGGGAGAGAGAAGGGGAGTGGTCCAGGCAAAGAACTGCAAAGTCTTGGCAGCATTCAGAGAAGGGAAAGAAGACCAGTGTGGGTAAAGAGCACAGGAGTGCACAGGACAATGTAAGGCTGCAGAAAGAAGTCAGACCATGCTGAGGGTTAGGTTCATGTTAAAGACTTTGGTCTTTCTCATGGAAAACCGATGAACTATTTTAAGGAGGGAGGTGAAAAATGAGACTTGCATCTCAAAAGATTATTCCAGATGAGGTATGGAGAATGGATTAGAGGGTGGCAAGAGTATGTGTATGAAGATGGGTTAGCAGGTTATTTAGGCTTCCAGTTTAAGAGGATGGTTTGAATACAGGTATTTATCACCACTCCTTCCCAAAATCCTAATAACAGAAAAGGAACTTCTAAAAGGGCAAAAACTACAAGGAGAGAATTGAATAGGAAGCAACAGCAATAAAATTTTGCAAGCAGGAAGCAGATGGATAGGTGATCATGTCTTTTGTGAATCCAAGAGGGCTGATTCCTAAATTGACAGTAGGAAAAGCTAAGAAGCAACCTGATATGCACTAAAGAAGTCCTCAAAGGCTTAGGAAGCATCAATATCTTCTGTTGAGGAAGAAGGGTTGAACATCAGTTTTCAAAGCACTTAACACACACATCTCCTCTTCCTTTCAGTACTAGGAAACCTGTCTCTCCTCCCTCCAGGGGAAAATTGATTGAACATGTATTCTCTAGAGAAAGTATGCCTAGGGGACAATGGGTACAGTTGCAATCAGGAGTTCTGTATAAAAAAGGACATTTTGTGAATGATGAAAAAGCTAAGCAATCGAAAGGGCAGCATATTTTTCATTGACGTTAGAAACCAAAAAAAAAAAAAAAAAAGGAACAGCATCTTCAAAATTCCGAGGGAAGATTATTTTCAAACTAGAATTCTAATACGCAAGTAAACTACCAAATGTGAGGGGAGAATAACGACATTTTTAGACATGTGAGTTCTCAAAAATTTACAACTTATGCACCCTTTTGCAGGAAGCTGCTGAAGTATGTGCTCTATCCAAACGAAGAAGTAAACCAAGAAAGAAGAGGATATGCAACCCACTCAACTTAAGGTCTCTTTAACATCACTTCCCTTTGCACTTTCTAGTTTAATAGAATGCACATTCTCTTCTTCCTTGGTTTGCTCCTTCGAGGAGAGATTACGTAACATAAGCACGTAGAATAAACATATTAAGAACATAGACTGCCCGGATCCTAATCCTAGTTCTTACCTATCAGCTGTGAGAACTCGGGCAAGTTATTTAGGCTCTCTGTGCCTGAATTTCCTATTCTCCAGATTGAGGATAAAAGGACCTACCTCAGAGGGCTAGTAAGAAGATTAAACGCACTGGAAGGAAAACTTGGTACGTAGTAAATGTGTTAAATATATTGAAAGAAGATTAATAGCTCTAAGAGAGTTTAGGAATGAATCAATGATAAATTCTGATGTAAATACCATTTAACAGTTTCATGAAACAATACTTAGTTTTTTTTTATATATAGAAAGATGACCGGTAAGGGGATCTTAACCCTTGGCTTGGTGTTCTCAGCACTACGCTCAACCATTGAGCAACCAGCCATCCTACATAGGATCCGAAACCGTGGCCTTGGTGTTATCAGCACCGGTTCTCCTGAGTGAGCCACTGGTCGGCCCTAATACTTACTCTATTATTTTTTTTTTTTAAAGATGACTGGTAAGGGGATCTTAACCCTTGGCTTGGTGTTCTCAGCACTACGCTCAACCATTGAGCAACCAGCCATCCCTACATAGGATCCGAAACCGTGGCCTTGGTGTTATCAGCACCGGTTCTCCTGAGTGAGCCACTGGTCGGCCCTAATACTTACTCTATTTTTTTTTTTTTTTTAAAGATGACTGGTAAGGGGATCTTAACCCTTGACTTGGTGTTGTCAGCACCACGCTCACCCATTGAGCTAACCGGCCATCCCTATATGGGATCCGAACCCTTGGCCTTGGTGTTATCAGCACCGCACTCTCCCGAGTGAGCCAAGGGCTGGCCCCCTAATACTTACTCTTAATTTGTGTGATTACTATCGGTTATTTTCTTTGCGGTGGTATTCTGTTTCTCGACCCCCTAAATTGATTTAACGTCCCCGTAACGGATAGCGTCCCAGATTTTGAAATGCCCATTTTAAATAGCCGCCTGGCCCTAAGTTTAGTCTGCCTCTAACCGATCTTTACCGGACCCTCCAGCTTCCCGCGGGTTTGGTAACCTAGCAACCAAGCAGCGTTATCAGAGACTTCCGGAACCTCATGAGTTGTCCAATCAGCTCAGCGGAGTCGCCGCAGAGGCTGATGGGGCGCTGGAGAGTGCGCTGTAGCGGATGTCTGCACCATGGCAACGCGCTGCGGAGCTGGGGCGGCAATGGCGGTTTGGTCGTTCTTACCCGCCCGGGCTGTGGCTGCGTTCCTCCTGTTGGTCCTCGCTCGCGTTTCACAGGCTCAGACCTTCTCACTCCCTTTCCAGCAGCCGGAGACGTGCGGCCACAACCAGTACTTTGATATCTCGGCGCTCTCCTGTGTCCCGTGTGGAGCCAACCAGAGGCAGGATGCCCGAGGTGAGACGGTTTCGGGTGGGCCTTGGCAAAAGTAACGCTCCGGCCTTGGTGCTGCCCGGAGTTTCTGGGGTCCCTGAAACACCTTTTCGTCTGCGAGAGGAATGTTTCAGAAAAGTTAAACTGCCGACACCTGAAAAGAGAGTTTCCTTGGAGGGTTGCAGTTTGCGCATTAATGAGGTTGTGGAAGCCCGAGTCCGCTACCCTGTGAGCCTTCATCAGTAATTCATTTCTCGGCCCCAGTCCCCCACTCCTAATTGGGGGGAGGGGGTGTCTTTTGGGTGGCACCTGGAGAGCCGCCTACCGAAGGCAGAAAAGGAGTAGAGAAGTAATCTGAGGTGAAGACGAGCAAGTGACAGGGAAGATTAGGGAGAAATGCAAATTAGCGCTTGTAAACTTTGATAGCCCATTGTCTTGCTTTTCAAATCTCAGAAATTTTTAAGCTGATAGAGACTTTAACCATGATTATTTACATGCTTCTCATTTTACAGATAAGGAAATTGAAGTTCAGATTAGGTACTAACATTTTCTGTGTCACCTTAATTGGGGAGTGGAAGATTATCTCTCTGCCCTCAGTTTCGACGTATGTATTTCAGCTACACAGTGTGTCTTTAATATTATAGATGTTCTTAGGAATTATCCCTTTTATTGTTGAATATTACTGATTGATCATAAAGTCTCTTTAGATTAAGCTTATTTTTTTCTTAAAACGTCCATCATTTGATCCTACTTCTCACTGAAACTGCTGAGAACAAGTCTTTTTTTCATATTCTAAAGTCTAAGATGTTTTCCATCTCGGTTTCATCACCCATGGTATTAACTTTCTGCCCTCTTCAGATTTCATATATCCTCATTTAAATCACCAAGCAGGACAGGTCAGGCTATTCAGGTAAGGAAATAGGAAGGGGAAAGCATTTCACACTCTAAAATGTAAGGGATAAGTTTCATAATTATGAATCCAGATATTGTATGCATTGTACTACATAGACTCCTATGGGTGCTGTTTCTACTTAGTCTCCTTAGAGATTGCTATCCTTACCTATCCAGAAAGTTGAATAGTGATTATCTTATAATGTTTATTCTCTGTCCAAACAGAAGGAAACAGTGATGTATTCGAATGAAAGTAACTTTCCTACTAAGATTTCGACAAAATAAACTTGAATTCATTGAAAAAAATATATATATATGGTTTAGTGAAATAGAAATGTAAAGTTTCCCATAGCAGTTAAATAGTTTAATAGTTTAGTTATGCTTGCACTTAAAATGGTAGCAACACAGTACCAGTTGTGTGCCAGATACTCTTCTAAGACTTTTACATATAATAACGTTTAAGACTTTTACATATAATAACGTTTAAAACTCATACTAATCTTATAAGGTAGGTACTCTCATTTTCTCCATTTTACCAAAGAGGAATCAAGGCACAGAGAAATTCAGTAACTTGCTCAAGATCACACAGCTAGATAGAACTAAGATTGGAACCCAAGGAGTATGTTTGTGGATTTGAACCAAGGCAGTACTGGGTCTAGAGTCTTGCTGATAACCACTATACTACTTCTTAAGATCTTAAGAATTATTAAAAGTTTCCCTATCTTGGAGTTGTATCTTTATTTATTGGCTCTTGTTTTTTTTAGGAACTTCATGTGTGTGTCTACCAGGATTTCAGATGGTCTCTAGTAATGGAGGGCCTGCCATTATTTGTAAAAAGTGCCCAGAAAATATGGTATGGAGAGTTAATTTTAAAATAACTTTACTGTAAAAAGTAATAAATGTCTTTATTTTCAAACTATAATTTAACATTTACTCTAATATTTCCTCACAAACTTTAAAATTATTAAGCTAACTTTACTACAGTAAATTTGGGGAGATAAGTGAAATTTTATGCAAAGTTAGAAAAAACAGACATGTATTTCTTTTTTTTGTTTTTTTGCTTTTTGGGTTTTTTTGAGGTTATTTATTGCTAGGGTCACACTGAAGGCCAGGAACTGGGCTGGAATTCGAACGAGGTCACTCTGATTCCAAAATCCTCATTGAAAGTGTTGTAGATTACAGTCTCTCATCCGAGGAGAGCCAGGTTTGGAGGACTTCTTGGCGTAAAGACATAAGAGATTTTGTAGAGGAAGGCAGTAGGAAGCAGATTGGTGAGAAACTAAATATCGATTTTACCCACCTCCCCTGTGGGGGTCCCAGATGGAGAATTTCTCAATGAGTCTAAGTTCAAGGGGATGCATCAGGGGTGAATAAATGTGAGTAGTTTGTCATTGATTTCAGAGAAGGAAGGAAGGAAAGAGAAATGTATTTTTTTAGGTTTTCAATCTGAAATCCAAAAAACCACAAAGCCATGAAAATTTGTTTTTATTTTTCTTCATAGAGTAACTCAGTTATAAAGAAAAATAGACTAATAATACATATATAGAGCAATTTGGGATTTGTATATCCTTTCACTGGTACAGATTGAGTTCACTGTCTTAGACATGCTGTGTCAACAGTTTTATTTAATGGTTGATGTTCGTAATGATATGTAAGGTGTGATAAGGTCATGAAATGCCAATTGCATCAGTAAATAGGTTAAATAATGTTCGTTTTTTAGTTGTTTCATTATATCATAATTTTTTGAAAATTAGTAAATTAATAGTTACTCTATATGACAATTCTAGATTAATGGAAATACATTTTTTATCATTTTTGATAATTAGGAGTCTCTTGAGTGACAGTTCTCACTTTTATAGTGATGTTTCTTTTCATTATCATATTTAAAAAAACATTAAATATAGAAATTTAATATAAAGTTAGCAATTGTCCTAATTTATTTTTAAGTCTGATTACCATTTTGATATTTATTTTATATTTTTGGCAATATTGATCATAGCAGAATTATCAACAATGAAACCTGCTAATAAGAAATGTTGCCAGAGCAGATTTATTTTTTCAATGACATTATTTAAGCTATTCTAATTTTTAAGTACTCCTGTATAAATGTATTGCCTAATATATGAGCATTTCTTGATAAATCCAGTCTTTTCAACCAAAACTTAAAATAATTTGTGGCATTACTTTGTTTTATCATTGTTCTCTACAAACTTTGGTTATGTCCATGTTTGTAGTTACAGTACTGTATTTTGCCCCAGGCTTTTCCTAAACCATGTAATATAATCTCAATTTTGAATTATGTCATATTTTACCAAAAACCTTTACTAGTACAAACTATGAATGGATAGATGGAAATATTTCCATAAATCAATATTAACAACTTTATGTATAATTTATGTACCATAAAATTCACACATTTTGAGTTATACATTAATTTTTAAAAGCTAATGTACTTAAATTTTTAAAGATTTTAGAATAAATATTTTAGAACAAGTTAACACTAAACTATTAACTGGCTCTGTATTGATTTGTTTTGGGGGGGCTTTTTTGGTGGCTGAACAGTATGGAGATCTGAACCCTTAACCTTATCAGCACCATGCTCTCCCAAGTGAGCTAACAGACCGGCCTGGCTCTCAGTTAACTAAATCCTCTTGAGTTTTATTGTGTTTTATGTTTGTAAATAGAAAAATTGAATGGCAAAGTAATTATGAAAGTAAGAATCAATTTGAACTGAAGATCATGAAGAAGAAAGAACTATTACCCAGAGTTAATCTTTTAATTAGTAGTTAGTCCATAGTAATAATATGTAGCTTGATTTTGGAATATAAGTATGAATTGGCTATCTGGGGAATTTTTATATAGCTAATGAATGTATGATTGATTTGAATATCCACTGCAAATTACACACTATTGTAGCTTTTTGGACTTACATGATCAATTAGGAATAAGAAAGTTAATTAAAAAGGAGAAAAATATATATATATGTATATATATGTATGTATTTTTTTTCATTTAGAAAGGTGTTACTGAAGATGGCTGGAACTGCATTTCTTGCCCTAGTGGCTTAACTGCAGAAGGAAAATGCCACTGTCCCACTGGCCATATTTTAGGTAAGACTTAGATTTTTTATGAAATAATAGTGATGAATCATTTGTATTTGTTTTTGAAAAGGATATTAATTGAAATAGCTTGGTGTTATTTAATTTTTTAAATTATTTTTTGTATGAAATTTAATGATACTTAAGACATCAGCAGACATTGAGAAGAAAATAAAAAGCCTTGTCTGAATTTTTTAAAAAATTCTTAAAAATGTAGATAGGATCAGATGGGCACTTCTGTAACATAACATGATAAAATATGTGTCGCAAGTCAAAAGTCAACATGATGCTTAATAGGAAAAATTGATAATCATTCCTAATGTCAAGACCTGGAAAAGGTTGTAAACTATACACATAAGTGAGAGAAGAAAATAATCATTGGAAAGGTCGAGTTAAAAAATTATTATTTGCAGATGACTTGATTGTATGTTTAGAAAACTCAAGGGAATTACTAAAAATTATTATAAACAGTAAAAATTCCTGGATATAAAATTGATATCCAAAAATTGGTAGCCTTCCTATATAAAAACAATAATCATTTAGAAAATATGCTGAAAGAAAATACCTCATGTATAATAGCAACAAAAAAGAATAAATGCTTAGGCATAAAATTTTAAAGAAATAGGCAAGATAAATTAATTAAGAAATCTTTGAATGCTACAGGGGACTCAAAGACAGGCTTTAATAAATTAAAATACATTCTTCATTTTCAGATGGGAAGATTAAATGTTATAAAGATGTCAGCTCTCCCACCAGTCTATGCATTTAAAGAGAATTAAATGCTAAATTCTACAAGGATTTTGTATGTGGGAATACACAAACAGATCCTAAAGTTTATTAGGAAAAATGTATGAAAAGCCAAGAAAATTCTGAGAAAGGAAAAAGGGAGCCATCCATCATATATTGCACTTATTTTATAGCCACCATAATAATATGTATGGCTGGTATATGAGTACATAGACTGATTTATGAAACGTAAAGCAGAAAATCAAAATAGATCCAATTTATATGGGAATTTGGTATGTGAAAAAAAGTAACATTTCATACTGATGAAGACTGATAAGACTGACTAATAAATGGTTCTGGGAAAATTGAGAAAACACTAAATTAGGTTCCTAACTTATTCCTTAAAGAAAGTTAAATTCCAAGTGAATAAAATATTTAAATATTAAATATGAATCTATGAAAACTCTTAAACATAGGAAAAATTTGTATACTCTTCATGTGTAATAGGTCTTTCTAAGTATGACAATAACTCAGAAGCCATAGAAAGAAAAACTGGTAAATTTGACTACATAAAAATTATAAAGGTCATAAGAAATCAAAATGCCAAAAAAAAAACAAACTACAAGCTAAAGAAAAATATATAATACATACAACAGAGATCTAAGTTCTTCATTAGATGTAAAACTCCTACAAATAAATAAGAGTAAGATGAATAACCCAATTTTAAAAATAGCCAAGAATCATGAATTTTAACATGAAAAAAATGTTCAGCCTTACTCAGAGTAAGAAAAATGTGAATTAAAACTAAAATGATATTTTAAAACCTACCAGATTTTAAACTTTTTCAATTTTGATGTATTTGTAAGGATATAGACAAACAGTCATTATCTGTTATTGGGTGATTATAAATTGGTGGAACCTCAATGGAGAGCAAATTGACAGTATTTATCAAAATTTAAAATGCAGGTCCTCTTTGCCCAGCAAGCCCTTATCTAGAAATTTCTTGTTCCCATACATTTAACAATGTGTCTGAAGAAGTGTATGCATTTTTTTTGTTCCAAATTTTTCCTAAGACAACAGATTTTAAACAATGTAAAAGTCTATCAAAAAGAGATTGGTCAAATAAACTGTGGTATATGCATACAATGTATAGAATGCAGCCATGGAAAAATAATAAGGCAGCTCTACACGTACTGCTATAAAAGGAAATCCAAGATATATTGAGTAAAAAAGCAAGATATAGAACAATTTATTGATTTATCCACAAATATTTATCGAATACCTGCTATTTATCAGCACTGTTTTCTGTGTTTGGTATGCTATCATTTATGCTTTTTTAAAGATGATTATATATGCATATGTGCTTTTATATACATAACCTATTTCTGGAAGGATTCATGAGAAACTGGTAACAATGATGCCCCCAGAGTAAAGAACAGTGTGGCTGGGGGTAAGGATGGGAAAGAGACTTAATTTGCATTTTAAATCCTTTCGTGCCTTTTATTTTTATACTTTATGTACTACCTGTTCAAAAATCAATTTTTTTAACAGAACAAAAATTCCTGCAGTCAAATTATTTAAAATCTAGTTAGAAGGCAGAGCATATAAAAAAATAGTTTAGAGAACAAGATAACAATGAAATATTTTCACAAGGGACACGTGGAAAATGATCAAAGGAGTAGTATAGACAATAAATGCTCTGTAAGGAACAGCTTACTTCAGTCAGAATTTTTCGGGAGGGTTGCCATGAGGAGGCAGTGTAGTAGCTGAACCTTGAAGGATTAATGGGATTTCAAAAGGTAGCATCAAAAAGAACATTCTAGGCAAAAGGAACAGGAAGAGCAAGGGTATTATTACAGATGCAAACATTCTTGTGAGTGTGAAGGGATTATGAGAATAGCAGTTTGCTGAATTTAAAATATTGGTCCAGATTGTGGAAGACCTTGAACAGTAGGATATTCTATAGGCAAGGGCATTTCATTGAAAATTTTGAAAAGGGGAGTGATTAAGATTAATCTAGCAGCCGTCTGTTGCATTCATTCATTCAACAAATATTAATCGAACTTCCACTATGTGGTGGGCATTGTCTAGGGATACTAGGAATAAAGCAGTAAACAGAAAACCCCAAAGTCCCTGCCCTCATGGAGTTTATATTTAAAGAATGGAAGACCAGAAGTAGAGAGAACTGTAAAGAGGCTGCTGTGGTACTGTAGGCATGGGGATGTAAGGGTCTAAACCAGAGTTAGGACAAAGTTATACACAAAGGAGTAGATGTTAGAAACATTAAAAGAAGGATAATAGAAGTAGAAGAATGAGAGAATATAGAGATAAGGAAAAGGGAAAAGTCAAAATTTCTGGGGTTTCTAAGTGGGGTGAAGGAAATGATGGTAGATTGAAACGCTGTGGAGAGGAGCTGGCTGGTTAGCTTAGTTGGTTAGAGTATAGCCTAATAACACTAAGGTCACAAGTTCAGATCCCCATACCATCAGCTGCAAAAAAAAAAAATGCTGTGGAGAGGTCAGTAAGCACTGAGCTTATGAGATTACTTTTGACAGTCAGGAACCACTGGTGCTAAATTTGCAGTTTCCAGAAGTTACTAGAGATTAGAGACTAGATGTCAGGAGGTTTTGAAAGACTGAATGTTAGGATAGTGGAGGCAGTGGATGGCTTATGGATAACCTGGCCCTTACCTGCCTTGGCTTGGGAACGTTGGCTTGATACACATTTAAGTGATTTTAAAATTATATTTGTACTTTAATTACCCACTGATTTTTGGTAGTTTTATTAGCACTATTGCCTCTATTAAAAAGATTAACTTGATTGTCACAGTTTTGGCAGTGTTTTCTTAGGTATGGGGCTAGAGAAAATTTCATGAGCTAGGTGGAAATTTGAAATTTATTACATTTCATGATGTGCTGTTTCTACTGTAAATTTTTGAATTATAGGAAGATGAAATTTTTGAATTATAGGAAGATGAAAATAAATCAAATTTAATTATAAATTCAGAATAAAAACTCTTAAGGACAAATATAATGGCATTACTTAAAGTAATGCTGTCCAAAAGAAATATAATGCAATCCAAATATGTAATTTTTAATTTTCTTGTCCACACATAAAGAAAAATAAAAGGAAACAGGTGAAATGAATTTTAATAATATATTTAGCCTAATATTATCCAAAGTATTATCATTTCAACATGTAATCCATGTAAACAATTATTAATGAGATATTTCCATTCTTTTACCTTACTAAGTCTTTGCAATCTCAATTCTGACTAGCTATATTTCAATTGCTCCGTTACCACAAGTGGCTAGTAGCTACCTTACTGGACAGCACAAGTTTAAAGAAACGCAAGTATATCAGGAGAAATTACATACTAGTACACTTAGTATCAGCCATGTGTATAAGCAGGTTAGTCACTGGAAGAATACAAACTACTTTGAAATCTTCTACAGTTAACCACTTAAGTCATGTTTCTATTACTGTAGCTATGTTATTGTTTATCTTGTAATTCTTCATTCCCTACTTACCAGATGCTCTTGAAATATCTGGATCATAAGCAGGGTGAAGCAACATTTTCTTTGCTGCTTTCTCTAAAGAGTGATTCTGACACCATGTGTCCCCTAAGGTTAGGTGACAGCTATGAAAATCTCATAGTTTGCTATTTTAGAGGCTACTATTACATGCTTAAAATTCTCCATGGTGCAGGAAAAGGGAGAGAGTAGGGTGTTATTTTACATGGATGATCATGGAAGGCTTCTCTGGAAAGGTGATATCTAAGCAAAGACTTGAAGGAAGTGAGGGACTGAGCCATGAGTATGACCGGGGAACATCATTCTAAGCAGAGGAAATAGCAAGTGCCGAAGTCCTAAGATGGGAGCATATTTGGCATGTTCAAGGAACAGCATGTACACTAATGTGGCTGAAGCAAAGAAGGAGGAAAGAAGAAGCAGATCTGAAAAGTTGGGGGTGATGGTATGTAGATCATGTAAGGCCTTTTAGGCTGTGATAGTGACCTTGGAAATTACCCCATGTGAGATGGGAGACCATTGGAAGGTATTAAACAGAGGAGTGGCATGGTCACACAGGTTTTAGAAGGTCACTCTAGCTTTTAAATCCAGCACTCTAGTTAGGAAGCTGTTACAAAAGCCCAGGTTATAGATAATGGTACTTGGGCCAGAGTATTAGTTGTGGAGTAGAGAGAATAGTTCCATTTCTCAATGTATTTTGAAGAGAGAGCTGACAGGAATTGCAGGTTTACTTTATTTTTATTTCTATTTTATTTTTTAATGCGAAGCATAAGAAGAGGAGACTCTAAGGACTGGGGCCTGAGTAAATGATCAAATGTAGTTACTGTTTACTGAGATGGGGATAACAGTAAGAGGAACAAGTTGTTCATCTTTACTTTTGTTAAAATTATTTTTTCCCCACTATATAAAAACTTAAACCATTATGGATAAGATTAATCTTCTTTAACCATTTTTCCCAAAGCTGATTCTGTATTGCTCCCTCAACCCAAAAGTAATCGTTATCATTTTGTGGAAAAGAGAGAGGGAGAGAGGGACGGAGGGAGGGAGGGAGAGAGGGAGAGGGAGGGAGAGAGAGAGAGAGGGAGAGAGGGAGACAGAGAGAGAGAGAGAGTGAGTGTGTGTGTGTGTGTGGGTGTGTGTGTCCTTCCAGAATTGTTTTTTCCTGTTTTATCATAAAACTGTACATTGTAGCCACAGGAAATGTAAGTGGTATTTTTACATAAATGTTTCATACCCCAAATATTGTTCTATAGCATACTTTTTCTCAGTTAATGGTATGATCTGTTTAATCTACGTCATTCTTTTTAATCTGTTTCATAGTATGTCATAGCATGGATATACCACTCTTCTGCTATTTTAGGTTGTTTTCTAACAAATAACACTGTCATGAATATCCTTATACTCATGTGCAAGTGTTTCTGAAATTTAGGTATCTAAAAATGAAATTGTAGTGTTGTAGATTATGTGAATTTATAACTTTATTAGATACTACCAAAAGCCCTCTAAGTTACAGAAATTTATCAGACATCTATGAAATATTTGCTTCCCCATCCCGGGGTGATGGAAAATTTTCGAGGAAAAAATATAATTGCTTTATTGTTACGATGGCTTGGAAAACTGTTTTCTATATTTTTTATGTGGGAATGGGGAAGTCTTCACTTTTCTATAGTATATTACAGAGAAGCTTGACATGCCTTTTATGCAAATAAGGTGTTTTAGAATTATTAGACTAATAATTACAAGTGGGTTTTATTAAATATTTTCTAAGTATATAGAAGCTTATATGTTCACTATGAGTTACATCTTAATTTTGTTTCTGAATTGTTTAGTGGAAAGAGATGTTAATGGAACATTGTTGTCTCAAGCAACCTGTGAGCTCTGTGATGAAAATGAAAACTCTTTTACAGTAGCAAATGCTTTAGGAAACAGGTAAGTAGTATACAAGCTGATTTTATTAATCATCTTATATTTATATGTAATCTGTATTTTTAAAAAGTATTTTCCTATCATATCACTTTTTCCTCACAGTAATCCAAGAAAGGATAGAAATAGACATTAATGGCTAAAGGAGCTGAGGCCCAGAGCATGAGACACAACAGGGTTCAAATTTTGGCTCAGTCTGTTAGTTGTTTGACCTTGGATAGCTCAATAAGTCAGTCTCCTTGTCTTTAGAATGGGACTATAACCCCACTTCATAGGTTGTGATGACTCAGAAATAAATATGTAAAGTTCTTAGCATAGTGCTATATACTGACTGCTCAGTAAAAGGTAGTTATTTTTGTTTATTATGTAATTTGTACATAATTTATAATTATGTGCCAACCACTGTGCTTAAGCCTTTATATGTTATATAGGAAAACATATTAATAAATAAAATAGTTATAATAACCCAGGTACCCTGATTTATAGCCCTATTCTCTGTTGCTTTCCGTTCCTGCTTTATGAATGTGTGTATGCACCACACACCTCGCCACACACATACCTTCTGACTTAAACACATTATACCTCTTTCAGCTTCTTCAGTTTTTTTAGAAGCCTACAGGATGACTTCCCTCTAAACACATTTTTCTCTTCAGTTCCCAAATATAACATAGAAGAATGTTGAACACCTTCTCCTGGCAGTTGCAGTGCCCTGAACTGACTACTGGGCTGATCCCCAATTTTGCACCTCTAATATTTTCCCAAACCTAGTCTGGCCCACTTCCTACCTGCTCTATCTTACACATAGTGAATACCCATACGAACCCATCAGTGTCCCCACTAGTCCAGGGTCCTCCCTCTGTTTCATTCATTAATGAAAAATATGAAGTAATTTCCTAAAATAAACAAAGGTGATGAATAGACTGTATTTAAAAGTGTTGGTTGTACGTTTGTTGAGGGGATAGACAGATAATATCTTTTCAGCTTATGCTCACTTTTTGCTTTGTGGCAGATAAAGTAAGGAAAGTATATTTGATATAACTACTTGTAAAAGTTGATTTGGTTTAATTTAGTTTGGGCTCTTTTGTTAGTTGAGTGACTTAACCATCTTTGCCATTCAGTATTATTCATTCTATGCATTCCATGTAGTTAAACAATCGTCTTCTATTCTTTGTTAATTTTATTTATTTATAGTTTGCTTTGTAACATAGAGTAGTATAAAACTATTCAAATTAGTATTAATATTTTGAATTTGTTTAATTTGCCTAAGTAATCGCTTAGCGGAATGAATCTATTCTAATCCAGCACTCAGGAAGACAAATTATCAATTAAATTAGGTTTAGTATAATTTATTAACATTTTAAAAATTATTTTTGTTATTGAACAGGTGTGTCCGATGTGAACCAACGTTCGTTAATACCGACAGGTCCTGTGCATGTTCAGAACCTAACATTTTAGTAAGGCTAATCAAATTGATAGAGTACAGATTTTTAATTCAATTGCTTATACCTTTCCACAAACTAAGTATTTTTTCCCTTATTTATTTATGAAGACAGGGGGATTATGTTTCAGCAACACAAGGAATTTTCCTCCACGTATAATTTCAACTGTACGTTACGGAGAGCTTGTAAGTATGTTTCAATTGCTTTGTTCCATTGTTAAGGATCTTTCTGCATTTCTTCCTTTGGTAATTTATTTCATACTAAAATGAGAAACATTTATTTATAAATCACTTTAAAACAAATTATCAATCTAAGAAACATTAGTCGAACAACTCAGCATTATAATTTATAAATACAGTACTCTCTTTTACACCCTAGTTCATTCCATTTTCAATGAATCACAGAATGTTTAAGCTGGAAATGTCTTATAGAAGTCTGTAAAGGATGCAGTATAATATAGTTAAGAGCATCAGAGACTCTAAATTTGAAGCCTGGATTTGCTAGTCATTTGTATCTTTGGATTTTGGAAAAGTTACATAACATTTCTGAACTTCAGTTTATTGTCTGCAAATTGGACATAATACTTGTGTCACAATGCCTTACATGGTAAGCATTGGAGAAATCAGGATTATTCATATCTGGTCAGGTTTCTTATTTTGTAGATGAGCACATTGAAGGCTGGAGTTAGAGCTTTTGCAGCAGATACTGGTGATAAATTTTAAAATTGCAGAAAAGTTGAAAGAAAAAGACAGTGAGGATGCGTATTTGTATATCTTTCACCTTGGTTAACTAATCATTAATCATTAATGTTTTACCACATTTGCTTTATCTCTCTCTATATGTGTGAATACATACATACACATGCACACATAACACACTTTTTTTTCCTCTGAGCCATTTAAAAATAAGTTGTAAGCATGACATATCACTCCAGATACTTTAGTGTGTATCTCCAAAGAATAAGTGCACTTTCCTAGCATCACACCCAAGAAATTTAAAATTAATACAATGAAATTATCTGTTATCTGTTAATATCCAAATTTTCCCAGTTCCAATAGCGTCCTTTATTCCCCATTCCGTTTTCTGGGGGAGGAGATCCAGGATCTAATCAAGGATCCCACATTGCAATTAGTCTTTCTAGTCTCTTTCAATCTAGGACAGATCCCTGCTCCATTTTGCCTTTATGTTTGTTGATTTTTCTTATTATTTTTTCACTATTAGACTCAACTAAACATTTTTTTTCAAGAATATTATATAGATGTTGTATATAGAACACTATGGCACAAGGAACACGTAATGTTAGGTTCTTCAGTTATTGGTGATGCTAAGTTTGATTGCTTGGTCATGGTTGTATCTGCCACTTTTCTCCATGTAAAGGTCCTGTAATTAGTTTGAGATTTTACTTTGAGACTATATAAATATCCAGTTTAGTATCCTCTGAAGAACCTTGCCTGAATCAATTATTAAATTGTCGTTTCTAATGATTTCACAATTCTGTTGGTCCTTCTATGTTTATTAGCTAGCAGTCTTCTGTAGAGAGTGCTTTCCCTTCTCTCTGTACTTTTTCTTTTTTTTTTTTAAGCTTTATTGTGAACTCCTGGAATTTTTGTTTATTCAGCATGTTATAATCTGTTACTGTTATTCTTCTTTTTAAAGCTCAAGTTGTACCAAATTTGGACTTCCCTTTAAGATAGCTCCTGTGTTGTTTTGACACGACTCCATTAGGATTTAGGCACTTACTTGATTTATCTATATCATGTTCCAGGCTCACCTTGTCTAATTATAATTTTTAATAGTTACATAATATTCTATAGTATATGTGCTGAAATGTATATAATTGTACCTCCCATGAATATTTAGGTTTCCAGTTGTTAATAATATTGCTGTCAGCCACTTTATGCACATATACACGTTTTTCTATTCGGAGGGATTATTGCATTAAGATAAATTTCCTAAGTGTTTCTAAAGTCCTGGGTTAGGGTATGTGGATATTGCTTTATAAAAGGATTCTGTACCTTTCACACTATCACTGGCATTGTGTGTGGCTCCATTTTACATGCATTTGCCAGTACTGTTGCCATTGCTTTCCATTCTTACCAGCTTTTCGTGTGTATGTTCTTCAGTGTATGTATTTTTTTCTTACAAAATGAGAATTTTTGCTTATTGAAGAGATAAAATTAGTGCCTGATAATTTTATTTTAGATTTCTTTAATAGCCGGGGTGCCATATTCCATGTAACTTGGTTGTGCCTCCTCTGTCCATGTCCAGCAAATTACTCTGGTGCTTCTCAGTGTCTCTTTAGCAAGATGTGCAGGTAAAATTGAAAGCAATGGTTCTTAGCCAGAGGTTTGTATCTGTAGCTTTCAAAACCCATATATGCCTTGGTCTTATCTGGCGATTCTGATTGATTTTGATTTGGAATGAAGCCAGGTATTTTCTGTTTTTAGAAAGTTGCACAGGTAATTCCCACCATTGTTTGAGAAGCACTACTTTGGAGATTTGAAATCATTCCCCCAATTTTTTTTTTATTATTATTTGCCAATTTCATACAGTATTTATAATAATCCTAAATCAGCAGACATTAACCACTCAATATTAAGTCAGGACCTATTCTTTTCTTCTCACTTTATTTTTTATATTATCAAAATGTGCATATATTTTTTTTGAATTATAGACATATTTTTGTTTTCTTATATCATTTGCCTAAGTGTCATTATTTTGTAATGCAGTACTATGTGTAATAGCTGACATTAGTAATTCTTATATTCTCTTTAGAATCTATTTTTCTGCTAACATTTAGAAAGTAATGTTAGTTATTTCCCATTTAACAATATGCATATTATTAATGTCTTCCTAACTGTGGGGTTAAGGAATTTCATTTGAGCTTAAAACTAAAATTCACCTTATTGTTGATAGGGCATGTCTTTAACTTCAGAATGGTTTTCAAAGTATTTGCAATCAGCAGCAGCTGCATGTCGGGTAAGTTTGAATTTTAAAAAAAAACTTTATTTCACTTTGAAGAATTGTGGTACCATTTTTTACCCAGATAGTAAAAGTTTTGTAAGTAGATATATCTCCTTGGTCATATTCTGTAAGAAGAATAAACTCTTTCTAGTGAATTGAAAGAGACATAAAGAATATATTAGAAAACATATTTCTAAGAGACGTAAAGAAAATATTATTCAGTATATACAAACTGAATGACTTTCAGGCTTATTCAGCTGCAACTGAGTGTTAGGGAAAACTGACTGTCATTTAGTAAATGTTTATTGATGAGCTACTACACTGTGCCAGGCCTTGTTCTCAAGTCAGATTAAATATTTCAGAAAAAGAGAAAAAAAATTTCTCATGGAGTTATAATCTAAGTAAATGTCAGGTTGTGCTAAGCACTATGAAGGCAAATAAATCAGAGAAAAGAAAATAGAGAGTGGGGCTGGGGGGTGCCGTTTTATATAGAGTAGTCAGGACAGGTATCTCTGAGAGGGTGGTATTTGAGCAAAGCCCCGAAAAAAGTGAGAGTAAGCCATACAAATATCTAGAAGAAGAGTGTTGTAAGCAGAGACCATAGCAGCAGCAAAGGTCCCAAAGCAGGAGTTCCCGGGCTTATTCATGCTTAAGAAACAAGAAGCAGGATGGAGTGGCTAGAGCAGAATGAGCAGGGAAAGTAGAGAGGAGATGAGGACAGGGATATAGGGAGTGGCTATGGCGAGGACCTGGAGTTTATCCTAAGGGAGATAGAAGGACTATATGCAAGGGAAGACATGATGGAACTTCACATTTTGAAAGGATCACTGTAGCATGGGGAATGGAGTTTGTTGGGGCAAGGACAGAAGCAGGGAGACCATTTAGGAGAGTATCGCAGTAATGTGAGTGATATGGCAGAACTGAAAATGGGAGAAGTGTATAGTATAGCTTCTGGCTATACAGTACTTTGAAGCCTGAGCCAAGAGGATTTCCTGAGAGTTGGATATGGGGGAGAGAGAAAGAAGTTCACTCCAAAGTTTTTGACTTGAATAACTGAAAATGGAGTTGCCTCTTTGTGATAGGAAAAATTGAGAAAGAAGGTTGAAAGGCACACTCAACAAATGATCTTGTTCATAAATCAAATTACTTAAACAAAATAGATTAGATTTATATGCATAAGATGTAGTATACAAATAAATTATTATTCTTTCAAATGTAAATATTCTACTTAACAGTTTTTTGAAATGTCATGCTGTGAGTTTTTACTTAGTTCTTTCAGTTGCTTGTCTTTATATTTTAGCCTAAAATTTATAATTAAAATGTATGCATTATTCCCCATCATATATGGAAAGTTTCTTTTCTACTTAAGCTGGAAAAAAGGTATTAAAAATAGGTAAAATTAAAACAAAGGATAATTTTTATATCAACTTTTGCTTAACCCAGAAGGTCCATATTAAATTTCTTTGCCATTGTTCTTTTGTAGGTGTATGCCAGTCTAACATCTTGCCAAGCTCTTGGAAATATGTGTGTGATGAACATGAATTCTTATGACTCTGCCACATTTGACGCATGTTGGCTATTTCAGTTTGTCTTCAAAAATACTACTGGACTGGGCACTGTTCATTCTATTTCATTTTGGTAAGGGCATTTTGATTGATAAAATGTCATTTTGACCGAATTCAGTGTAGCTCTTTTCACAAATATTAATTATAAGAAATATTTCTTCTCCATTATTAAAACAATTATAATTGTTTATAGGAGACAGAATCTTCCATGGCTGTTTTATGGAGATCAGCTAGGATTAGCACCTCAAATACTCAGTACTACACCACTTCCTACAAATTTCAGTTTTAAAGAGCAAAACCAGGTACAAGTCTCTTTTTCATTAGAAGATAACTACGTTTTGATTTACAATTTTAAAGGATAATAAAGTAACTAGTTGCAATTCTTGCTAAATTAGGTTGTTTTCACAAATTTAGTTACTAAACTAAATATAAATATTAGCTGCTTATAGGAACTGAATAGTATAGAGTTTAACTGTCTTACTTGAGTATACAGATATCTCTGGTTTATGTGATTATGGCAGCAAGTAGTACTTGTGGATAGGAAAGAGTAGTTTTCATCACCAAATGCAAAATAATCTATCCCTCTGTATCTCTACATTTTTAGGAAGTGATTCCAAAGATTGATTGCGGCCCTGTGACATTTCCTAGCACTTCACAGCTTCACATTCCCACCTCTAACTTTTTGACCTTCTAAAATGGAGGAATAAGATTACCATACCACCCTCCATTTAACAGGTTTGAAAGGAGGTTAACTATTATGAGTACAGCCTCTCCATTCTGAAATAAAAATTTCCATGCAAAAAACCAGTGCAATTCTTTTAGGTGTATTTAATCATAGAGAGAGTTAGATTAATTTAGCTTCTAAATTTCTAAATAAAGATAGTTGAAATTAATTTTTCAACAAAAATGATTAGTCAACAATAAAAAAGAAAGGATCAGTCAACAATGAAAATTTTTTCATAGATTATATTACTTTCAGAGTATCTGACGTTATTTTATTCTTGTTTTTCTTTAGAATACAAAACTGAAGTTTGTTGCTGCTTCCTATGATATAAGAGGAAATTTTCTCAAGTGGCAAACTTTAGAAGGAGGTGTTTTGCAGGTAAGCATGTTCCTAGCTAATGAATTACTAATATGCCTTATTTTTGCCTGAGGAAAAGACTAGATTATTGCTTGAATAGAGTATCAGTTACATAGTACAGTTGATTTTTTTCTGGTGCTTTAAGTTAGAATTTCTTAAAACTGCTTTTTAAGTTATGACTTTAATTTATAACGAAGATGCTCCCTTAACTTTTTATACACTTGATGCATAATAAGTATTATATAGAGCATACATCCATGTTGGGGGTTGAGAATTCATGACTAAAAGCAAAGAAAATGTTTGTGAGAGGTATTTGTCATTTGTGTTCTTTTGTTGTAGCTTTGTCCAGACACAGACATAAGACTAAATGCTGCTTATTCTTTTGGAACAACCTACCAACAAAATGTAAGTTTGAACTATGTTAGACAGTCTATATTTTAGCTTTCCTCTCTCCTTCCTGCTCTTACCTTCTTATTTTGGTAGCCCATTTTGAAATTACAGTATGATACAAAGGGATATTATGAGACATTAAATATTTGAAAGACATTCAGTAGTCTATAAAAATGCTTCTTGATAAAAATGTATATACACATCCCATGGAAAAAAACTACAGTGAAAAATACTATCATGGAAGACAGATTGGAAGAAATAAATATTTTTAACAGTGGTTATCTCTGGATGGTGAGATTAGAGATGACTTTTGTTTTCTTTTTATATTTTCCAAATTTTCTACCATGAACATGAATTTGCTTCTATTGTCAGAAATGACTTTTATTTTTTGTGGGGTTTTTTTAAAGAAATGTTACTGATTGTATACTATGGGTCAGGAGAATCAACACTTGTTAAATTCCTCCAGTGTGCTCAGCGTTTTATCATTGTTATCCCATTGATCCATAAAATAACTATGTGAGATATGTATTATCTGCACTTCACAGATGAGGAAATGGTGCTAAGATTAGATAATTTACTCAAAGTCTTGCATCAAGTAAACTGTGGAGCCAATGTTCTGTTGGGTTTAAAAACTGGTTATCTCGTTGAACCTGGCTGCGTCTCAAGTAGTTCATAGTCTGGTAGGCAAAACAGCTTTATAGATAGATAGTTGCAAAGAATGCGGTCAGTGTTGTTCTATATGTATATACAAGGCATCAGTTCCTGGGGAAGTATAGAAACACTTCACAGAATGAGTGATACTTGTGTTGTGACTGTGAGTTTGCCAGAAGAACACAGTGGGGAAGGGAGTGTCAGGCAGAAACCACATTTGCAATGTCAGAGACACATAGAATAGCATGGCATATTTAGGAACTGTAAGTAGATTATTATGAATGGACAACCATAGACTGGTAGGGAGCAGTAGGAAATAAGCCTGGCTCTGTTAAAGGGAGCCAAATTACAGACATCATTGTACATCAGGAGAAAGAATTGGGACATTATCCCTAGGACAATAGTTTTTAAACCTTTTCACTGATGTACACTTAATGTTGAAAATGAAGATGTACCTTTTCCATTTGGGTTGTAGGTCAAAAACAAAGCAGTTCTGTACTATTAGTTTTTCTGGCCCTTATAAAAGAATCATATTTATCATATTCATGTGTTAGAAGACACATGGAAATGCATATAAAGTTTAAAGACATTTTGCAAAACTAGAAAAGCTTTCTAATTTTCAATTGTGATGTTTTTATTTTTAATTTTATTTTCCAGTGTGAAATTCCTATCTCCAAGATCTTAACTGACTTTCCCACTCCTATATTTTATGATGTATACCTTGAATATACTGATGAAAATCAACTCCAGTATATTTGGGCTGTGCCTGTGTTAAACCTAAATCTTCAATACAATAAAATGTTTGTGAACCAAGGTAAGATATCCGTACATACCACTTTTTCTCTGAGCTGAAATCAGTAAAGTCAACTTACATGATAATTTAATAAACCACTTATTAAAAGGAAGGTCATGGATTCTCTCTTATTATATGGCTTTATACAGTGTGCCAAAAAGTAAAACAATAAGGTTGCTGGTGTATTCAGAAATTTTTACTAATTTTATTGTCAGGCATATTGTTAAGAAATTATACTATTGCTAAGACGGTATCCTGAGAAAAACTGAACTGTAAATTGAGGCTTTTTCATCAAGCTGTCCTCTCTCTGCTATTTGGACAAATTAGTTTCCTTTGTTTTTACCCATATAAAATCCTGCTTTTTCAGGTAATTTGCAGGGAAAATCCTTCCAAGTTGATGGAAAGATCAAACCAGAAGACATTCGAATGAGGGGGAGAAGGCCATTATCAGAAATTTCTTACAGTAGTCACTCTTTGCAGCCATCTCACCTAAAACAAAACGTTAATTTTGTGTTTTAAATTTGTTCAGTTTTAAATTTGTTCAGTAAACTTCTCCTTGAGAGCTATCTTGAACAATTTGAGGGCATTTTTTTAATGCCATCTTTTTTTTTCTGTTTATAATAAAAGATAGTAGCTCTGGCAGGTGGCTTCTGACTCGGCGCATTTTCTTAGTGGATGCAGTAAGTGGACGAGAAAATGACTTGGGAAGTCATCCAAGAATAATTCGAATTGCTACCCAAATATCACTAAGGTAAGCAAATGTCTAATGACTAAATTAGACTTTGAGTTTGTGAGAAAATGTCATAATGAAAATGTTTATACCAGTAATTATTAGATGAAAACAATAAGGACTGGTGAATTGGGCCAATATATAAGGTTTTTTAAGATATCTGTGTAGATTGGCGTAGACAAATAAAGGTGAGGAGCCAGGGGGAATTATATCAGAAGACCCTGAGGAGTGTGGTCAAAATTCACATTCTAGACCCCCTGTAGACCTGCTGAATGAGAATGGGTTGAGAGGTATAGGGAAGGTGAATACCGGTGTGCTGAAGTGGATATTTTAGAAAGAGTTCACCAGATGATTGTTAATAGTTCGGCCTCCCCTATCTTCACTTCCTTTAACAGCTGCTGTTCTAGGTTGACCCAGATTAAGGATCACCACATCCCTCTTCCTAGGATACCCTAAGTATGATCCTACCTTCAGGTAGTACCACACAGCCCTTGTTTCTCTGTCTTTTCCAGTGTGAGATTCCTATCTCTAAGATATTAACTACTTCCCCACTCTAATATTTTATGATATGTACCTTGAATACACTGATGAAAATCAACACCATCATCTTACATTAGTTTGGCACTTGAATCACTTTAATGTACATTATTTTTTTCCACTGTTATTTCATTTTGATTCTCATAACCATCTTATGAGGTAGGCAGTACAGAAGCTTTGCTATATACCTTGCTGAAATCCAAATGTACTATGTTTTTAGCATTCTGTCAATCAGCTAGTGTAGTATCCATAGTAAAAGTAAAATTGAACCTAGTCGGGCTTGACTTGTTCTTGGGGAAACCATGCTGGCCCCTAGAGATTAACACTTTCTTTTAGGAGTTCACAAAGTATATAGTACCAATACACTGAATTTGGCAAAAGTTACCTTACTATGTGCCATAAACAGTATTAGATCTGACATCTATTATTTTGTTAAGAATTCATCTTTCTCATATGAAAATCAGAATATTATCTGCCTCTCTTTAGGCCTTATGTAATATGGTTCTTTTGAATATTCTTAGAAAATGGTTCATAGTGCTTCCATGATTTAATTTGTAAACTTCATAGGACCGGGATTGAAAAGTGTTTCTAATTTGTCTCAGAGGGTATATTTTTAAATTAAAGTTTTGACCACTTAAAATAAGATTGTGTTGTTACCATTAGTTTATGTTTAGCCTTCCCTGGTCTTATTAATTGGTTGGGTCTCAGATCATCAAGACAATCCATATCATGTTCAGAAGAAATGATAAATGTATGTTTCAGGGCCTAGCTATATTTATCCCTATAAATGTATTTTCTTTTAAATAGCCTCCACCTTGTATCCAACACAAAAAACGGAAACATTTACCCTCCTTTAATTACCATTGCCTACAGTGACATTGATATCAAAGATCCAGTCAGTCAGTCCGTGAAGGTGTATTTTCTTTTAAATAGCCTCCACCTTGTATCCAACACAAAAAACGGAAACATTTACCCTCCCTTAATTACCATTGCCTACAGTGACATTGATATCAAAGATCCAGTCAGTCAGTCCGTGAAGGTAAGTTCTTTACAAATGAGTGTCCTTATATCTATTAATATAGTACTGATGCAGTTTACATTATGGTCAAATGACACTTAGTCTTTTTTCGAGTTTTAAACAAATCCTTCTCTTTAAGAGGCACATACTTACGGAACCTGAGTAAGAGAAAGCAAATATGAATTTTTTCAGAAGAAGCATCACCAACAGTAGAGCATCCATGTTAGGGATCCTGGGGTATGCTGAGGTAGGCAGTGTCTGTTCCTGTCCCTTTTGGGCACATTGCTTCTGTTAAGATTTTATCTCCCTACACAGAGTATTTTTAGGGCAGCAAAACCATTCTGTATAATATTGTAATGGTGAACACATGACATTATGCATTTGGTAAAACCCATAGAACTGTACTAAGAGGGAACCCTAAAATAAAATTAAGTTAATAATAATATATCAATACTGATTCATAATTATAAAAAATGTACCACACTAATGTAACATGTCGATAATAGGAGAAACTATGTGTGTCTGGGGGAGAGGATACAGGAACTATATGTAGTTTCTGCTCCATTTCTCTATAAAACTAAAACTGCTATAAAAATTTTTTAAAAAGAATGGGAAAAATAAAGATTTTTGTCTCCTTGCCTAATTAACCAGGAGCTCAGACTTTACAGTGGGTATATGTGTGCTCACCAATCTATAGCCCACTTGATAGGGTCACACTTCAGCAGGCAAAAAGAGATTAGAATTATCCGCTTTGTAACTAGTAGTGCTAAAGTGAGCTACAGAATGTAGTTTGGACCAGCAACCAGATAGGCTTCCTACTAGTTTCCCAGCTCAGTTAAGCTTAGCCACAGAACTGATGGCCTCCCTTGCCTGGGAGGGCTTATATATGGAAGAGAGAGGCCTTGTATATCCCAAAGATAGGCTGCACTGAACAGAATAAGCCTGGAAAAGGCTGTGCCATACTTGCTTAGTTCCTCCTCTCAACCTCACCAGTGAGATGAAGCATTGCTGCTTTGAAGAGGGGTAAATGTGAGAGGGATAAAGATAGAAACCAGAGGTAATCTTACTATACTTTCTCCTCCTAGAAATTAAGTGGATATTCCCTTCCCTCTCTGGAAATATGAGAAGTAGAAGACAAGCATTCTTGACCTCAAAATTCACTAATAGCTTTTAATTTCTACTATTTTACTTTTCTGAATTTTAATATTCCAGTTGCTTCAGCCAGTGCTTTTGGCCTTTCTGTTGTTCTCGTACTTAGCTGCTATTGGATTCAGGCTTTAATTAGGCAAAATTAGGCACATAACATAACTTTTAAAGATTTCCCATCCTCATTTGTATGATCTAATCTGATGTTAAAATTAGTTTCCACTGACTGAACTTCTTTACACTGTAATGAGAGGAGAAGAAAATCCAGAAACATGCTTAATAACAACAAAAAGCTGCCTGGTACCTGCAGTGATCAGTCATGGGAAACCAAAAGTATATTTACTCTAATATAGAACACTTCAGGGTCTTTTCTTTAAATATTATTCTTGTCCAAAATATTCCAAATTAAGCCTTGACAAATTGAAAAAATGAAAAATAGTTGAAGGACTCCTGAAACTACACTGACAAAGGTCACCTCAAATTCATTCTAATTGTAAAACATAAAATTCTTTCATTATTTCTTAATTTCTCAAGACAGCTGTTGCAAAAATCCTACATCAGTTTTAAGCACCCAGCTATGTATCTGCTCTTACAGCATATAACCTTGCTTCCTATTTTACTGAGCAAATTAAGACCATCTAATTTGAATTTCCTCAAATTTCCTCTTTAATACTTCAGTATATCTGTTTCATTATCCTTATTTCTTGTCCTCTTTCTAAGAAAGAAGGTTCCCTCCTCCTTTCCTAAGCTAATCATCTACCTGTACTTGTTTACCGTACTTTCTCCAATATCCTGTTTCACCCCAAGCCCTTATTCAGCCAGCCTCTCTGCCGGTCCCTTTTCTTTGCTTATAAAAACTCTCAGGTTGCCTCATTAAACACAAACTAAAACAACCAGCCACACAGTAAAATCTTCCCTCAATTCTGCCAGCTCCTCAGTTTGCCATTGTTATCTCTTCATTTCCTAACCATCTACTCTTTCATCTTTTACAGTCTGGCTCTTACCATTTTACTTCTTTGAAAAACCTCTTTCATGAAGGTCAACAATGAATTCCACATATAGTGGCTTTATTTCTCTAACTGGACATTTATATAACATTTGACACTTTACTGTTGAACTCTTCATTCTTGAAACTTTCTCTTCTGTGACCATGATGAGACTTAGGTACCCTGCCTCTCCTACCTCTTACAGTCCTCTTCTCTTACCCTTTACTGGTCTTTCTCTTATCTCTTAATACAATAGTATCTTTAACATTCTTGTTCATACCTTTGATTAATGCACCTTCTTAGGGTATGGTTCTGTAGCCAGTTGCTAAATTCTTGGTAACACAAGTTCAGTCACATTCCTCAGTTACAGATACTTATCAGAGAATGAAATATGATTAGTTTGGCTTGAATTGCTGTTAATAAACCAAACTTAGCTCCTAATGAACACCTCTTTTGTTAGTGTGTGTTCAAAAGAGATATTTAAAGGAACACAGATAATTCTCAAAAGCATATCTATTTATGTGTAAGAGTCAACCCTAGTATTATTGATAGTTAGAAAATATACCATTTATGGTAAAATTCAGCTACAAATGTATTTTTATTGTAATGAGTTTGTGTTGTATAATTTTAGTATGGCTAATTTGTTTTCTTTTAAATACCAGGTTTCTTTTTCAGTCAGATATGAAATGAATCAAGGAGAAGCACATGTCCAGACAGATGTGAGTTTATTTTAACCTATTAAGTTATTTACAGTATGTTATTTAATTTAAAATATAATTTCAGATGTACATGAAAGATGCCAAAATTGATTTGCTATGTACCCTTTTTTAACATCTTATATAACCGTAGTGCAATGATCATAATCAGGAAATTAATACTGATGTAGTCTGATAAACTATTCTACATACTATTTGAATTTCACAGGCTTTTTACTATCTTTTTTCTGTTTTAGGACCTAATCCAGGGTCCCACATTGCTTTTGGCTGTCATATCTCCCTAGTGTCCCCCAATCTGTGACAGTTTCTCAGTCTTTCTTTGTCTTTCATGACCCTAACAATTTTCAAGAGTACTGTTCAATTATTTTAGCTCTCAATTTAGGTTTGTCTGATATTTTCCCATAATTAAATTGAGTTTATTTAGTTTTGGTAAAGATACCACAGAAATAACGTTGTGCCCTTCTCAGTGCATCTTATCAGGAGGTGCCCTCATGCCAGTATGTCTTATTACTGGTGATGTTAACTTCGATCATATGGCTAAGATGGTATCTACAGAATTCTCCACTGTATTTTTCCAAATGTTATTAAGTTTCTTATGGGGAGACACTTTGAAATTATGCAGATGTCCCTTTTGCCCTCTAATTTCAGCTTCTATTGATGATTCTTTTTTTTTTTTTTTGTCTTTTGTCTTTTTTCCGTGTCCGGCAAAGGGATCGCAACCCTCGGTGCTGCTCCCGCGCCTCGCTCAGCCAGTGAGCGGGAACTGGTCTGTATGTGGGATCCGAACCCTCAGGCGGGAGCGCCGCTGCGCTTCCCAAGCGGCACACTATCCAGTGCGCCACCGGGCCGGCCCTATTGATGATTCTTGCCTGCAGAAAATATTACTGTTATATTTGCCTGATGGTGATTTTCTATTTCCCTCATTCCTCCCATATTTGTTAATTGGAACTCTACTGTAAGGAGGAGCACTCCTTTGCCCACATTAATTTATACATTCAATTATTCATTTAAATCAGTGTGAACTCATGGATATTTATTTTATTCTAGTGATTATAATCCATTACTATTTATATTCTAGCTCAAATTGTCCCCATTGTTCAAATTGGCCATTGGAAGTTTCTTCAAGTTGGCTCATGTGTCCTTTCAGCATGCCCCTCACCATGTACTTCCTTACTTTCTGTTTACAGTATTTTTGAACATTGATTAGAGAAATTATATAAATCCTAAAATGTTCTTTTTTTTTTTTTTTAGATTGCTTTGGGTGTATTGGGTGGGCTAGCTGTTTTATCATCTCTTTTGAAGACAGCAGGGTGGAAGAGGCGCATTGGGAGTCCCATGATTGACTTACAGGTATGGGCTCAAGAGTTTTTTAAGTATATTTTTATCTTTTGGCTATTTTAGATCCTTCTCAGAAGACACAGATGGAGGATGAGTAAGAATTTTTTAGTCCCATGATTGACTTACAGGTATGGGCTCAAGAGTTTTTTAAGTATATTTTTATCTTTTGACTATTTTAGATCCTTCTCAGAAGACACAGATGGAGGATGAGTAAGAATTTTTAAATTTTTCTGGGATATATAATTAGGATAGGTATTGCTGGGTCATAGGGTATGTGTGCACACCTCATTTTCTTCCCACAATGCTATATGCCAGTCTGCACTCCACTAGCAGTGCTGTTCTTGTTTCTGCACACCCTTGCCAAAACTTGATATTTTTCCAACCTTTCCATTTTTATTTTTTTGGTTTTTTTGGCGACTGGCTGGTACAGGGATGTGAAACCTAGACATTGGTGTTAACTAACTGTGCTCTAACCAACTGAGCTAACCGGCCAGCCCCAACCTTTCTATTTTTTCACAGTCTGGCTATATATTATAGTATGTCACTATTGATTTCATTTTCATTTCTCTGATTACTCTTCATATACTCTTTATCCTTTGGGTTTCCCCTTTTGTTTCCTGCATTTTTATATCCCTTGCCCATTTTTCTATTAGGTTTCCAGTTTTTCTTGTTTATTTGAAGGAGTTTTTTGTATTTTCTAAATATTAATTCCTTTTTGGTTTCTGATGTTGAAATGTCTTCTCTGAATATGTGATCCATCTGTTATTCTTATCCATGTGGTTCTTTGTTAATATTCTTTTATGTTATGGTATGTGCTTTTAGGATCTTGTTTAGGAAAACCTTCCCTATCTTAAGATCACAAAGATATTCTCCCACATTTTACTCTATTAACTTTATAGTTTTACTTCTCATTTAATCTTTTTTAGGTTTTTTTATTTTTATTCTTTTATCTAACATTCATTGAATATTTACTATGTACCAGACACTTTTTTAAGGTTTATATGTATAATTCATTTAATCCTTACAATAGCTCAGTGAGGTTAGATATTATTATTATTCCCATTTTACACATTATTAAATTGATGCAGAGATTAAATTTTCTACTCATTTAATTTTTACAACTCAGTAATAAGTATTATGTCCATTTGGCTGATGAAGGGCATGAGAAAGGCTACATATAGTAACTTGTTTAACCAGGGTATTTTCCTGACTCCAAAGCCAATGTGCTAAGGAATCAGAGCAGAAGGGCTCGATTTACTGCTTGAGATAGTCACGAAAGGCTTCTTAGAGAAGTGAACTTGCAGCTAGGTTATCTGTTCATTCCACAGTCATCACTGTGGGTCTGCTGTCTAAGTGCCTGACACTCTCCCAGGCACTGGGGGATGTGACAGTGAGCAAAGACAGGCATGGTCTGTGCCCTCAAAGCTCACGAGAGTTTGCCAGAGAGAGGAAGGGAAGAATATTTGATAAAGGCAATGTTCATTTCACCACACAGAGTATTTGAGATGAAAGTATGGAGTGGTTAAACATTGAGTAAGTGGTTATAACTGGTAGATGATGCTAAAAAGTTCATTTTGGTCTATGTTGTGGGACCTTGTAGGTCAGGAATTTATAGTTTGGTGAGGAGTCATTGTACATGTTGGTGAGGGGAGTGACACAATTCAGTTTACATTTTAGAAAACTACTCTGGTACTAGTGTGGAAGATAGATTGGGATGGAGGGTTCCCAACTAAGGGAAAATTAGGAAGCAGTTTCAACTTTCTTAGATACTAAAAGATGAGAAAGCTTGAAAAAGAGGCAGAGGCTACTGGGAACGGACTGCAAGGTAAGGATCCAAAAGGGATCTGGGAGGGGGACTCAGTTGGTCTTTATAACTGGGTGATACATGGATTTGTGAAATAAGGTTTCAGGCTTGAGAAACTGGGTGAATGATATCTTATTAAAAGTGATATTGTTACCAAAAGTGGTAAGTAGATGGAGTCTTTAACAGTTGTAATTCTTTTTTTAAATTGCAGACAGTTATGAAATTCTTGGTGTACTATGCTGGCGATCTGGCCAATGTTTTCTTTATCATCACAGTTGGAACAGGTCTTTATTGGCTTATTTTCTTCAAAGTGAGTGAGTCTGAATTTAACCCAAATGCCAATATCTGAATAACTGGTAAGCTCTCTTTATAAAGGAGCTATTTTTATTTGGGGGCCTTTCTGATCAAAGTATTGAGGCAAGTGCTAAATTCACCATTCCCTGAGTGTGCCGAGTTTATTGAATGCACTGCTATCTCCCTCTTTTGCACTTTATTTGGTTTATAATTGTGCTTAGTAAAAGTCTTGTGTGATTGTATTTAACTAAGTAACTTTTATTATAGGCACAGAAGTCTGTCTCTGTTTTGCTACCAATGCCTGTTCAAGAAGAACGTTTTGTTACTTATGTGGGATGTGCCTTTGCTCTGAAGGTAAGTTTCAAAGGACAGATTACTGAATTTAAAAGGCCTGCTAATAAACTAGTAAGTCTTTAAAATTAAAATGCTTTCAAAATTTTGGTAAAATTTACTTTGGTTTTGAAAGAATGCCTGAATTATTCTATTTTACATAGGAAATCTACCTTGATTTTTATATAATAGATATAATAGGTAGCTTCCTTAAATAATTTTTTCAAAGAAGCCATAAATAGGTTTGGATTAACATGAGTTATAGCTAACTTTTTTCTTTAAAATCTGATGATGCAGTCACAATGGAACGAAATGCCATTAGGCATGAATCTTGTCTTTATTAATCAGGGTTAAAAGATACCACTCTGGATAAAGTGCTGAAATCTTAGATGTTGTTTTCTCTCTCTTCATATTCCTTTCTTCCTTTTCTTCCTATGGCACCCCCTCTCCCCCCAACTTTAATGTTATCATAGGTGAAGCTCCTTACATGCCTCTTTGATAGATCTCATCCCATTTTGGATTAACATGAATTATAGCTAACTTTTTTCTTTAAAGTCTGATGATGCATTCACAACAGGGTGAATTAGGTGTATATTTATTATGATTATTAGATGTCTGCTTTTCTCACTGAACTGGGAAATCTTTAAGGAGAGGTATCATCCCATACTTTTTTTTTTTATCCTTTGTTTGATCAATAATGCATCTACGAGGAAGAATGCCTCAGTTTAAACATATTGCTTCTATAAATGAAAAAAATGTGTTTCAGCAATACATTTTTTTAAAATCAGAAATCTCAATACCAGAGATAGAAAAAAAGACAGAGCATCCTAAAACTAGACAAGCAAATTACAGATGAAAAATATTTTACTTAAAAAGAAGTCAGATGATCCACAAAACAAATTATGCTCTGAAAACCTCAGGAAAGAGTCAATTATGCAAGGCTCCTATGTGAGGAGGAGGTAGGATGTTTCCTTTTACAAAGAAAAGTGAAGGTGAATTAATATGTGTATGAAAATTCTGTGAATTTGTTAAATTCCAAGCTATTTGATGAGCTTCTAGTGATCCCCTAATGGTATTTTAACTTCATGTGAAGTCACTTGTAAAAATTATATATTCCTGTGATTACAGTATGTTTCTTAAATAATATTGGTTTTGTAAGTAGGCTTAATGCTGATACTTTTCAGGTCTTTATTGTATGTCGTTCTCAGGCTCTGCAATTTTTGCATAAGCTCATATCCCAGATTACCATAGATATATTCTTTATTGACTGGGAGAGACCTAAAGGAAAGGTTCTTAAAGCTGTTGAAGGTAACTGAAATAAACATTTGTACCAAAATTATTTTGCTAGTCTTGCAGAACAAAGAAGGTGAAACACTTATCCATTTTACCTCCCTGACCAGGTGAGGGTGGTGTACGGAGTGCCACTGTTCCTGTAAGCATATGGAGAACATATTTTGTAGCAAATGAATGGAATGAAATTCAGACTGTGAGAAAAATTAATCCACTCTTTCAAGTACTTACTGTCCTCTTCTTTTTGGAGGTATAATTGTTTGATGTAATTGTATGCAACTTATGGGTGCTTCATAAATGTTAAATTAACATAATTCCAACTAAGTTTTCATGACAGTAGAATTTCTAAAGTTGAAATATTGTTATCAAGCCATTAAAAGGAATGGCCTTTTACAAATTACAGTGAAATGCATGTACATATCAAAGAAGATATGTTCTTCAGAAGACATTTTGGAATATATTGTTTTAAATTATAAAAATTAGTATAGTGCCTGACACATGTTAAATACTCATAAGATGCTAGTTGGTAATTTACTGAAGAAGGTTTTTCTTTAACAGAAAATTTTGAGCTTTTTCAGTATGTATGACAATAAGTTTATATTTAGCCCTTAGTCATATTGAGAAGGATACCAAATAAACTAAATATTTTATAATAAATACTTTGTAGTTAAAATACTAGATACTAATTATTTGTATCTAGATTTTCTACTGTTTGTACAAACTTGGATATTTTAGTTTTTAAAGTGAGGAATCGGGAGGAGTGTTCCATTTTCAGTCTCGAAGAGTTTTCTTTATCCATGTCTCTTAAAATTATTATTTTTTCCTTTTTACTCAAGATTGTGGGATTCAAGAACTTAGCATTAATGGACTCATCCTCTAGTCTTTCCAGAAGCCCACCTAGCTACATAGCTCCTTATAGCCGCATTTTGAGATATGCAGTGTCTACTGCTCTTTGGCTGGTTATTGGAATTGTACAGGTAACAAGAGATTCTTGACTCTGCTTACATACTCATTACCCTCAAATATTGACCACATCCTGATTTCTGTAGCAGAAAGGTGACAAGAGCAACCATAATAAAAGCTAATTCATCTATTATATTATCCAGGCACTATGCTGATTAATTGCTTTATACATATTAACTACTTAATCTTTACAGTAACCCTGAGAGATAGGTTTTATTATTCTCATTTTACAGATGAGGAAACTAAGGCATGGGGAGGTTAAATAATTGCCTAAGGTCATGCGACTAGTAATTGGCCGAACTGGAATTTGAACCTAGCCAGCCTGATTTCAGAGTTCACATTCTTGTCAATAGTGGGGCTCTGAAAGGTATTTGAAAGTCTGTAGCTTTCTAGTCATAGGACAGACCCATGTTTAATTTTTATGTAATTACAGGGACAACTAAGCTACCCTAAATATTTTCTTTCCTTTGAAATGTAACTTATTGTTTACATTTATTTTTGTATCATCACATCTCACTCAAATTGCAAGTACCCCTTGGGGAATTTTCTTTTTATTGAAATGACTGAAACTAAAAGTAAATCTTGTTAGCCTCAGGTCCCATGGCTTTAGCAGAATTTCTTTTCTACATTAACTTCTCTTCTTAAAGTTAAAAAACAAAAAATGAAAAGAAGGAAAGAAAAAAAAAAGAAGCATAAGCTAAAGCATTTAACTGTAACATCTACACTTCTTTATCATGTGGATACTCCCATGAACAAAAAGAGACTTTCAGTTTTGATTAAAAATTGCTTTAACTTTTATAATCAGCAAATGAAGATGGAACCTCTGTAAAACCCAGGTTTAACTTCCTATAGCTAATAGCTAAAATAGCCTATTTTTAAAGATCTCTTGGGATTAAAATCCCTTTAAGAGAGCTTATTTCTACAGAATTGGACACAGGAGAATTGAGTTTTTAAATTCACATTTCTTTTAAATTGATGAGACTTGTTCAAACTTGAAACTACAGGGATAGAGCTAGTGAGGGATAGTTGACAACCAGAAAAGGAAGATAAACAGAAATTAAAATTTGAAATAAGATGGGATCAAGAGAGTATGGGGTTTGATGTTTATATCAATATAATAGTAAGGAAATATTTTGTACTATACCAGTAATGTTTTGTGAATATATCAGATTCATCTGGAGGTAGAGAATTTAAAGGAATACCATCTAAAGCTTTTCATATGTGGTTAAATTGTAACAACAACAACAAAAGAGAAGTGGCTGAAATAAGAGAACTTTACCTCTCCCATGAAAAAGAGCAGAGGTCAGTAGTGCAGGGCTGGAATGGTGGCCCAGTGCTGCTGTCAGGACCCAGAACTGTTGTTCTGTTCTGCTACATGGGACTTCCAAGGTCCATTTAGGGTCCATAATGGCTGATGGAGTTGTGAGAGAGAGTCAGTGGAGGTGAGCTCTCCTCTTTAAGAGCCTTTTTAGAAATGCTAGTCAGTATCTCCTTGGCTAGAGCTTATACACATGGCCTCACCTAGCTGCACTGTCTTTCAGCTGAAAAGCAGTTTGTTCTGCTCAAAGGAAGGGCCTGTCACTTTTTTTTTTTAACATTTATTGGTTTATTACAAAGGATACAGATGAAGAGATGCACCGGGTGAGATATGGGTAAAGGGGCACAGAGCTTCCTTGCCCTCTTTAGGCACATCACCCTCCAGAATGCTCAGCAATCCAGAAGCTCTCTGAAGCCAGGCCTTTGGGCTTTTTTGGAAGCTTCATTCCATAGGCATGATTGATTAAATCATTGGCCATTGACAGTCATCTTAACCTCCAGCCACTCTCCCCTTCCTGGAGGTAGTGGGGTGGGACTGAATGTCATGCCTTGGTCTTTCCTGTGACCAGCCCCCATTCTGGAGCTTGCTAGGGGCTGCCAGCTATCAGTCAAAGGGCCTTTTATTACTTGTAATCCTTTTCATATATTTCCCAAGAATTCAATGTGCATTATTTTGGGAAAAAGGAAGCAATTTTAAGAAAAACTTAATTTTGTATTGTTTTGCAGATCACTTGCTAATTGCTCCTTTTTCTTCTTTTTCTTTCTGTAGATATCAGTGTTTCTATTATCCCACAAATGTTTTGGATATTACATTCATGGCAGATCAGTACATGGGCATGCAGATACTAATATGGAGGAAATGAATATCAATCTTAAAAGAGAAGCGGTATGAATGTACTGATGTACTGTACGTCCCCCCCCTTTTTTTTTTTAACATTTATTGGTTTATTACAAAGGATACAGATGAAGAGATGCACCGGGTGAGATATGGGTAAAGGGGCACAGAGCTTCCTTGCCCTCTTTAGGCACATCACCCTCCAGAATGCTCAGCAATCCAGAAGCTCTCTGAAGCCAGGCCTTTGGGCTTTTTTGGAAGCTTCATTCCATAGGCATGATTGATTAAATCATTGGCCATTGACAGTCATCTTAACCTCCAGCCACTCTCCCCTTCCTGGAGGTAGTGGGGTGGGACTGAATGTCATGCCTTGGTCTTTCCTGTGACCAGCCCCCATTCTGGAGCTTGCTAGGGGCTGCCAGCTATCAGTCAAAGGGTACCACTTTGGAGATTCTAAGGATTTTAGGAGTTGACTACCAGGAAAAGGACAGGACCTGGGACAAACACCAAATATATACTGTATTTCACAATATCACAGTCCTCAGATCCCCAAACCGGCCAGCTGCCAAAAAAAACAATATCATAGTCCACTACCTGGTCTTCAAACACGGATCCCTTACATCAAAGAGAGTCCCATTCAGTCATTAATAATTAGTTCAGTCCATCATCATATCATATGAATGTGTGTCCCAGGATGAGGCCACTCAGGTTTACAGGCTGTCATTCAATCTTGTCAGGTTCCAAAAGCAGGAGTGGTCTCAGCACACATATAGCTTCACCCTTTGAGGCATCTGGAGTAGTTGAGCTAAGAGACAATGTCATCTCTTGCTCTGAGCCTCTTTTGAGGAGTTAATGTAATTATAGATTTTCCTCATTACATAACCCATTTATTCATTCTTTACCTTCAGCTGCTATTTCCTCCTTCTCCATTAATATCCAAGCTTTTTCACCTTTGCAAGGGACATTAGGTTCAGCCACTGTGCTTATCTGATTACATAACCCATTTATTCATTCTTTACCTTCAGCTGCTATTTCCTCCTTCTCCATTAATACCCAAGCTTTTTCACCTTTGCAAGGGACATTAGGTTCAGCCACTGTGCTTATCTGGATTGCATGTAGCAATACCATTCTAGCAAGTGCCTCCCCCTCAGTCCACTTCCATTCAAATAGGGACATAGGTGCAGAATTAGTGAGCCATATTTACCACTAGGCAGTGTAGCTGCATTCACTGTTAAACTCAATTTTGTCAGATGGGGTGAAGGTACAACCCACCCCTATCAGGCTCTTAGGAATTCTGACATAATGTTTAAAAACATTGTTAGAGTAATCTCTGCTTCCAGCACTTGTAGTTACAAGACCTGGTCCTAGAACTACTGTATCAGGTAGAAAAAAAGGTAATAACAATCAAGGTGATATGGGGAAGAAAAATAAAGTATAATCATTGTATCAACATACTCCCCGTTTGGCAAGAACTGTGTAGTCATACCAGCATCCTTCCCTCCTCTTCCTTAGAACCACCAGGAAAACAGAGGAAAATCTAGCATGGACACTCCTTTAATCCCACTCATACTGAGTGAGAGCTCACACTCATGAAAGCATGTAAGCCAGCCCTTCATGCCTTTATCTCCCTCTATTTTAGACAACCAATGTTTTATTAATTGCCTGACCCACTTCTCTATCATACTATTACTCTGAGGAGGGTATCTTTCTGCCCATTGTTGGACATTATGGGCTGTACAGTATGTTCCTTGGTTTAGAGAAATGACGATTGGCTGTCCAAATTCATGCAATATCTTCTGTTCTGGTTTTTCTATAGCACTCTGAGCATTTGTATCTTTCACTGGGTAAGCTAAACCCAGTCCAGAATCAGTGTCTATTCCTGTCAAGACTCATGTAGCCCCCCCTAGGACTACCAGCATTAGTCTCACTTGCCGGCTATGTGTAGGGCCGTGCCACCAGGGAATCTGCCTCATAGCCATTGGCAGTCTGTCTCTCTGCTAACAAGAATAGCTCTTATTGGCGTCATGTGCCTGAGAGGGTGCAAGAGGAATATGTCTACCTCTAGCCCATCTCTGCCTTGCTGCAGTACCCTCATATCCTCTCATTCATGGACCCAGGTGGCCACCTCAAGGAAGCACACCAAAACCTGGAAGAAGGCTCTTCTGATGAGTATTGACATGTTCTACTTTAATGTACCCCTCAGATGTCCATAGGGCTGTGCCCCATACAGGCTTTCCTTTAGTAAGCCAGGTTTCCATTGCCCTCCAGCTTGGCCATATAGTCAGGCCAGTGGCCACTGTCCGCGAATCAGTAAAAACCCAAACATAGGGGCTTTTACCCCTGTCCTTCTACCACTGCTAGGAAAACAGCATGCAATTCAGTCCACCAAGCTGGTTTGATTTTACCTTCTTTAATCAGAGTAGCACCTTCTAAATAGGATGTTGTCCATTCACCTTGGAATTGCCATCCCCCAATCCAGCAGATATTGGTCAGTTGAGAGCTGTTTATAGGGCGCTGTAGAATTTAGTAGTTTCTCACATGGTTCCAGAGTCAGTCCTAGGGTAAAAGAGGCTCGCTCCCTGCTTGTATCTCTTTCTTGCATTTCCCAGTAAGCATGATCCCATGTAAACCATTTAAATTCTCTTGTTCAAAGTCCCAGTAGTAGTCTCTAGGAGGTGCTCACAGACTTTTTGCTACAAAGCCCCAGTCTAGGGTCTATCTAGGACTATCCAACAGAATTTGTCCCTACCAGCACTTCAGCTTCATTTCTACACTTTGTGGGCATAGGCAATCTTATTGATTCCCATTTAGTATGTCCAATTAATATTGCTAGAAGGGCAGATTTACATGCCTTCAGTTTTATAGTAATAGGTAGGGGAAACATTCCCCAATCGAATACAATGTCCTTTGCCATAATTTAGTCAGTTTTAATTCTATTAACCCTTACTTTCCTTACTGTAGCCTCCATTAGGATTTTATCAGCAGGTTTTGGTTTTTACAATACTAGGTAGGGGAAGTGTTCCCCAGCCAGACATAATATCCATTCCCATAAAACGTTTAGATAAAGAAGAGACAACTTCTTTTTGTAAAGACTATTTAAACATTATAACCTTCATAATTCTACCAATCCTTACATTTTTATGTTCTCTTAATCTAATTGTAGCCCACATCAGAGCTTCAGCAATTAATCTTGGTACTACAGTGTATGGGGCTCCCACATCAAGAATTTCTCTTCACCATCCCCTGACCAATTTACCTTCTCTTGGGCAAAGGCTTTGGGTCCCCAGCAAGGGTTTGAGCCAAGGGAACTAGGCCCTTTCATCAATCTTTATCTTGATTAACCTGCCTGACTACTGCCCAAAGCAATTGTTGGTCAGTTTTTTCATTATTATCTCTTTGTTCTGACTTTTTAAATTGCTATACACTGCAGTAAATACAGCAAACTTGTTTGGAACCCTTTAATGTTGGGGGACTAGCCAGGGATCCCTTTGGTCCACCCTACCTTTGATAGGGATGTATTGAGACCTTTGTTTTCATCACATCTATGCCCATTTTATTCATTCCATTTCTTAATAACCATCTAAAGATTTCTACCCATGGGATGAGTCCCATGATTCTTCCGTTTCATTTTCCTCTTAGTTTCATCGCATCAAAGTTTTCTATATTCACCTTCTTTCTTAATAACCATTTAAAAATTTTCATCTTCCTGGATAAGTGCCTTGACCCTCCCCTCTGCCTTTCCCCATTCTCTTGTTAATTACCCTGTTTTTATTAGCATCTGTAAGACCCATAAGGGAAAGCTGAGACAGCAAACTTTATCATGCTTCCCTGATTGTAGCTCTGTTTTACAGAACTAAGGTAACATGGGGTGCTCATGTAAAAGGAGCCCCCATAACCACTGCATTTGCCATTACCTGGGTAATGGGCATAATCAGCAAGTGAATAATCCCGGTCGTCATAAAGCCAGTCTCACATGGCTTGCATACAAAGCATATCAGCTTCATCTGGGGTCTCCACTTGGCATTTATAAGGGGAAATGGACAGTCCCATTTCTTTATCCAGTCCACCAGGCTAGTTGCTTCTTTGGGAATAACCTTTTATGTGTCTAGATCATGTACAGCCATCTGTGATTGTTCTATAGTTAGCCGTGGGTCTTTCATCAATACAAACATACTTCTCCATTCTGCCTTAGGGAGCTGATGATTCCGATCCACCAAATGAGACAATTCTTTCACATTTACCTTCTAGTTTTAGTAGTTACTTGGTTTCTCCCTTCTCCCGCATTGACTACCATCTTGGTGACCAAAGGTCTTAGAGGTACTTTCTGTTGTCTCTACATAATTTCCCCATTTGTAGGTGACTTTGAGGCTAGTGGCCTGAGCTCAGACTCACTGAAATCTGAGCTTGGTTTAGCATCAAGGTCAGATCCAGCACTCTCTTTTACTTTCATTTTAGCTGTTACAGATAACGATAAACAAAGGATTGAATATTTCGCTTTCTTCTTATTAGTTTGCATTTCCTTATGCATCCAGTGAGCCAGCTCCCCAGGAGTTGGATCCATCTCTAAATTCCACTGGTAACTTTTACCTTTAGTAACTGAGTGCAGCACAGCTGCTGCTCCATACCATGGATGACCATATGGCCACACAGGAATTAAAAGTTACTCATCCCCCACCCTTTTATCCTTCCTCTTCCCAAACCACATATCCCTTAGCCAGGGCCATCCTAGCAAATACCACTCCTTTGACACCTTTTGAGTGGAAAAAAAAACACTCAGTTTAGTTTCTCTCACAGTTATGTGTTCTCTCATAACACACTTCTAACACCAAATGTGGGGGGAGTTTCTCCCCATACACTAAGCAAGCCAGCATTTCTCCAGTGGATAGCAGCTGGGTGTCCTCCAATTCAATTCCTACACTATCTACCTAGAGATAGCATCAGATCCCATAGGTTGAGGGTTTAGTCCCCAAGACTGCGCCCCACCCCCACTTCTGATGCCAGTTGCAAGCTACAGGTTGAATTACCTGTGCTTTTGACCAACTGGCTGTAAATCAGAGTTTCCATGATCCCCTCCTTGGTTTTGATTAATTTGCTGAGTGGCTCACAGAACTCAGGGTAACACTTACATTTACTGGTTTATTATAAAGGATAGTGCAAAGGATACAGATGAAGAGATGCATCAGGCAAGGTGTGGGAGAAGGGGTGTGGAGCTTCCATGCCCTCCCTCAGCACTCCACCCTCCGGAACCTCCATGTGTTCAGCTCTTTGGAAGCTCCCATCCTTTTGTTTTTAAGTTGAAAGATGGGTTCTCTTTTCTTAACCTAGGATTTATAATAATATTTTTTAAAATTCTCATTGGTCACTTTTGAAAGTTGCTAGAGTACCAACTCATTACCTTGAACATTGATAAAGGAAAAGAATCTTATTTTATCCTGCAGTTCCTATATGAACTCTGTCTCAGAGTAACCAAATAATTCATGAGGGAAATTCTTCCTTATAGAAGAAAGTAGAAGGAATTCTAAGTTGGAAAATCACCATTTCGTAATGACTAATTGATTAATGAATGAAGGCTGCAGTCATCAATAGATGCTAAAATAATTACGCAAATGTTGACAGATAACTTTTATAATGAGGGATCAGGTTGACATAATCCAGACTGGCACTCAATTTTTCTATAAATAAGATAGAGGAAAACTGACATTATGTGCTTCCAGATATGATACACTAGGAAGTACATAACATACCCATGAAGTATTTTGCCTAAGAAAATTGGGCCTGATATAATCAAGCTTCTAGATGTAACTACCAGTTTGCAGGAAATACAAGGAAGGGATAGAGGGACAAATTATGTAGCACCAGAGGAAGTAATTAGCCAGATCCAGAGTGTAGGATGCTTTACTGGACAAGTGACTCAATGTCTCCAAACAAATCAATAGCATGAAAAAAAAGGAGGGGTGATGGAAAAACTATTACATAATAAGAAAAGTTTAAGAAACAGTCAAATACAATGTGTGGGCTTTGTTTGGATCCTGAGTCAGACAAATCAACTGTAAACATTTTTATGGAGGAAATCTGGGAGATTTAATGGACTAAATGTTAAATTATATTAACTAATGATTAATTTTTTTTAGGTATGATAATGGCATGGTGGTTCTTCCATAATAAAGTTTTTAAAAGAACAAGATACACTTAAGAGGAAAAACCAAGGGGATTTAGTGATTAAGGGGCCATAACTGTGACTTGTAAGAATTTGATATGTGATATTGGCATCTCAGAGAAGAATTTATTTAATATATTGAACTGGATCACCTAGTTAACTACTAGAAATTACTCTGGATTAAAACATTAAATGTAAAAAATGAAGCCATAGGAACCTAGAAAAGAATATTTCAGATTGAAGAATGACATTCTAAGCATAAAGGATGGAAAGCATCAAAAAGGGAATATTATTTGATTTTACTTTACTAAAGTAGTACATTTACATATCAAATAATCAAATAAAAGATAGCAAATTAAGGTAAAATGCTCATAACAGTATGACAAAGATATTGATAACAATATTGAAAGTCATAGAAATCAATAAGAAAACACTAAATTAAAATCTCAGTGGAAAAATGACTAGAAGATTTTTTTAAATAACGAAAGAGAAGACACTATAAATCTCTAAAAAATGTTTTAACTCATAATCAAAGAGCCAAATATAAAAATAATGGTTTTCCCCTCCTCAAATTAGCAAACTCTTTTTTTGAGCTAATATTTAATAGTATTAAGGACACAGTGAAATGGACACCCCCAAAATTGCTGGTGTCAGTATAAATTTTTATAAACTTTGTAGAAAGCATTTTGGGAGTATATGCCAAGAGATTTTTAAGAGTTCATAATCTCGATTCACTAATTTTATTAATTTAACTCAAGGAAAAATTAGCAATATGAACAGCTAATTAGATTCACAATCTTAATCACAGGGGTTTTTGTAGAGGAAAAAATATAAAAATTGGAGAATGTTAAATAAATTGGTTTACCTTTACGGTGAAATCTTGAGTAGATGTTCAAGTCATGTTTTATAGAATATTTAATGACACGGGGAATTGCTCAGGATATAATATTAAGTGAAAAAGAAATCAGTGTGATCCCAATTTTATGCTACCCGTATGTGTATGCCTTAGGAAAAGGACTAGAAGGGAAATATATTAAAACATATCTCTGGGTGTTGAGATTATAGGTAATTTTAAAATTTTTTTGTTTCTCACTGTATTTTATAAATTCTCTGCAGTGGCATGTACTTTTTTAATCAAGGGGAAGAAACCATGTTTTAAAATAAATTCACTACATGTATTCTTCCTTTAAGTCTATAGAAAACCAAGTGCTATATTGTGTTTGCAAGTTAGGTTTAGACAAAGAAGGAGAATATTAAGTTCTGGAGTAGGCGAACAAGCTTCATGGATACAAGAGAACTTGAGCTTAATCTTGAAGCATCAATGGGAATTGGCTAGGAGGTAGGGTAGGACAAAATTTTACATGACATGTTAAGTCTATAGAAAACCAAGTGCTATATTGTGTTTGCAAGTTAGGTTTAGACAAAGAAGGAAAATATTAAGTTCTGGAGTAGGCGAACAAGCTTCATGGATACAAGAGAACCTGAGCTTAATCTTGAAGCATCAATGGGAATTGGCTAGGAGGTAGGGTAGGACAAAATTTTACATGACATGGTTGTCAGGATTTAAGTCTTGTCAAGGAGACCTGAAATAGACATGTGGCCCATAACACTTGCTGTTTGGTCATGAATCACTGTCTCTTTATTGGAATTAATTAAGGAAACATTTAAAAAGTGTTTAGAGAACAAAAAAGACCATTTACAATTGTACAACTAGTTAATTCTAAGACTAGACTTTTCAGCATACATTAAAGACCAATAAGGTTAATTATAAAGAAAGCTAAGAATATCAATATTAAATGAACTTAGTATGAATTATTTTCTAAAGTAGAGTGAAGGAGATAATATAAAGACCTACAGGGGAGTATGTATTAGAAAAATGTGGAAATTAATAAAATCAAGGGGAATGGGAACCTAAGATAGTATTAGAATCTCTTTGTTTCAATAAATTTCTCTTACCTTTTGAATCTTGTAATGTGTGATACCAACTAAAAGAAAAATACTGTATTTTCTTTTTGACCTGTAATTTTTTATAATTTTGAACTTAATGTAAATCCTTTAACTTTTCAGGAAAATTTGTGTAGCCAAAGAGGTTTGGTACCTAACACAGATGGTCAAACTTTTCAGGTTGCAATTTCTAGCCAGATGAGACAACACTATGACAGAATTCATGAGACACTAACAAAGGTTCGTATAATGTATAGTTCACATATATTTTACCAATATTTAAGGTTATCTAAATACCAAGAACATAAGATATGTTGCATTTATTCATTTCTGGTTTTTTACATTAGAAGAATGGCCCTGCTAGACTACTGAGTACACCAACAAGTACTTTTGAGCAGAGTATAAAAGCATATCATACAATGAATAAATTTCTTGGCTCTTTCATCGATCATGTATGTATGTCAACATTTATATTTAAACTGGGATCAAATGCAATTTTTAAAAGGCTAAGTGGGAATGTCAATTATTTCTTCAGTCAACGAAATCAGTGGACTTAGGATCCGTTTTTCTTTTTTTGTCTTTCAAATGTAATGCTTAGAAATGATATTTTTAAAAAAGATATTTCTAGATATTAACAAACTATGGCTTAAAGATAGTTAGGTTATGTAAAAGTAAAATGAGATTTTAGTTGTCTATTAGCATAATGATGATTCCATAAAATATGTCTGTACTGGAATTTTATTAGTTTCCAAAATATAACTATTATTCATTATTGAATCATTATTATTATGTTATGATTGTATTCCTGAAAGTTTGTTATAAATTGATTTTCAGTATATCTAGCCTTAAATACTACTAATGGCATTTAAAATTTAAAACGTTTTTAAAGAGAATTTTACTATAAATCTCAGTTTAGTAAATTCAATTTTTCTGAAGAACAGACTTTCTTTGCATACTGTGTATTTGTTTATTTTCCCTCCATCTGATTTTACATTAATTGGAAAGCATTTATTTCACGGCTGTTTTTGAAACGGCTCTGTCTTTTTATATTAGGTTCATAAGGAAATGGATTACTTTATTAAAGATAAGTTGCTTCTTGAAAGAATTCTTGGAATGGAATTCATGGAACCAATGGAAAAAAGCATCTTTTACAATGGTATCCTTCAAATGCCTTTACTGAACTTGATTACTGTTTCAGAGTTTGAAAAAAAAGTGCTTGCAGTTATTTTTCTTTTCATTTTATAATTTTGTATAAAAACAAAGGAAACATAATGAACTCAGTTAACCTTATAGAATTATAGTAGTTTTCTGTGTTCTATTTTATTATATCATATAGCAGGAAAAAATATATAAAATAGTCTATAAAAATCAAAAAAACTGAATTTCAGAATCAACAGTACACAAGGTCAAGGGTTCAGATCCCTTTACCTTCCAGCCATCAAAAAAATAAATAAAAATAAACAGTACACTTAGAAGTGATAGTAAAACAAATAACATAAAATTCAGATTTTATTGGAATGTTTATTCAATGGCTAACTTAGGAAACACTTAAAGAATAATACTTGTGATTAATCTTTAATATTTAACATCTAATTTTTTATTTTATTGAAGTTTTTAAGAATCACAGATATTTGTAACAGGATGGGGTTTAACCTGGTTTCTTATCATTAAGTAGGTAGTGTATATGTCCTGTGTAATGTGACCCAATAACCTGTTGTATGGATTGGTAAAAATGGAAATGGTATAACCAGTGTCCTGGCCTAGTTATTATCATTTACTCATGTGTTGTTGCTTGCCAGAAGTGCCAGTCCTGGGGTACACAGATAAGTGGTCCCTCCCTTGGGCATATTGTTTAGTATACTGTGGAAGACAGGTAAATAAGTGGAGTGGTGCTGGAATAGAAGCCTGTGCAGGCACAGGTTACACTTGGGACAGAAAGGAGAACAGAAAATCTGACCAGACACAGGGTGAATCCAGAAGAGGCAATATGGAAAAGTTTGAACTGGGTCTTGAAAAAAAATAAGCAGCTATTTGTCAAACAGGAAGGGTCAGGAGAAGAGAGAGAAGCAAAGACATTCATGCAGAAGGGGAAAAGGGGAATCAAAAGAAGTGTGCAGAATGTATTATGTACTTGTGAACCATGTTTGAAGTCTGGCTTGAAGTGGGACACAGTGAGAGAGAGTGTGCTTGACCCCGGGGGCAGATAGCAAATACCAAAGGCCTTGTGTGACACGCTAAGGAGTTCCACTTTATCCTGTAGACCAGTGCTTCAAAACAAAAAAAAAAGTTTTTTTTTAGTTTTTGCCCCACAAGATGTGTGTAAGTTGATCTGTGGAGATATGGGAAGAAAATATTAAAATGTGTATTTGTTTATATGCAATTCTGACATTCTTAGTTTATATTTAAATTTATATAGAGAGTAGTAATTAATAGAATAGATCTATTATGGGGATTCATGGGCAACATTTTATTCTGATAGGGGTATATGATCGAAACAGTTTGTAAATGCTAATGAACTAATGAACATGGGTATCATTGAAGCGTACTAAGCAGATCTGATCTGTAAATTGGAAGAATTACTCTGGCAATAGGGTACAGGTTGAGTTAGAGAGATACACTATTATAACAATATAGCTTAGCCATTAAGAATAGCTTTCAAAGTCTCTGGTCTTACATTCAAAACCTGACTCTACCACCGTTTACTAGCTATGTGAACTTGAAAAAGTTGCTTAATGTTTCTGAACTTTAATGTCCTCTCTATAAAATTAGGTATAAAGGTTTTGTGGGAATATCATGTATGAAGAACCAAGTACAGTATTTGTTATGGGTAGGCGCCCAGTAAAGGGGTGCTGTTACTGTTCTGATAATACAATCATCTTCTTTCTTCCTTCTTCCTTTTCTTCTTCCTTCTTCCTTTTTCCTTTGTTCTTCCTCGTCCTTCTACGTTTCTTCCTCCTCCTCCTGACTTATCTTCTTCCATGTATATATCTTCATCAGGAGATGTTGAGAATATGCGCTAAGACAGTAGCAATGGGGAAAAAGAAGAAAGGATTGCTAGAGATGTTAAGTGGAAAAAGAGGTAGGAGAGAAAGAGTAGTCAAAAATAATCCAGATCTCTAGTTTATGTGACTAAGTGGTTGGTGGTGGTGCTTTTCACTAAGACGGAATGCAGATGGAGGACCAGGTTTTGAGGAAAAGAGGATAAATTTAGTTTGGAATATGTTGTATCTTGAGGATCATTTGGGCCTTCTAGGAAGAAGTATCCAGTAAAGCATTAAATATAAGGGACTGGATCTTAGGAGAAAATAAAGGCACACAATAAGCTGGGGAGTTGCCATCAGTATGAACTCATTGCTGGAGCAGTGTTAATGGTAGATCACCCAGGGAGAGCATGTAAAAATAAACAGGTTTGTTTACTTTTTTAATTATATATACAATATAATATACATGCAGAAGTGCATATTTCTTAAGGATACAGCTTACAGGTCAGTGAATTTTTACAAACTGAATAGATTTCTGTAACTAGCACACTGATCAGAAAGGGCATTACCAGCACCCCAGTCATCCCCTCATCTGAAACAGGTTCCTAACTGGGTATCCACGGGTGGCTTCAGTGGTTCTCTGGACTTACCTGATACTGTTTACAAGATGTGTATGAATACTTTTTTTTCTTCTGGTGAAAGGGTCTATAGCGTTCATTAGAGTCTTTTAAAAAGGGTGTCCACATCTCCAAAAGGACACAAAACCCACTTGTGGAGTGAGAAGAGGTCTTAGAGCAAATCCTTAATGGACTATTTGAGACAGAAATTCTAGAACACTGTGTAATACTCCATGCCTTGCTGGGGTTTTTGTTAACTTATTCTGTCTTAGAGAATCTTTCTAGGAATCATTTAGCCTTTAGTTATATAAAGAAATAGAGAAAGAATATTCATTAACTGGTCTTTGAAAGGTATTAACTATGTATACTTACACTGCTAGCAATTACCAACCCTTGGTCCTAATATTAAAACTGCTTTTTATGAGTTTCTGTGAGTTTTTTGACTAACCTCTTAGATTAGCTAAATCTTAATGCTTTTTGTTTATTTTCATGTAAGCCATGAAGTATTGTGTGTATTACTGGTTTCTAATATGACGTTTTTAAATATCCAAATTTTAGCACCAGAAATTTATAAGAAATTTGTTGTATTTTTAAATTTCTAATTTATCTTATAAATTTTTTTAATAGATGAAGGTTATTCTTTCAGCAGTGTTCTGTATTATGGAAATGAAGCCACCCTTCTTATTTTTGATCTGCTCTTCTTCTGTGTTGTTGATTTGGCCAGCCAAAATTTTATTTTAGCAGCCTTCCTTACATATCTACAACAAGAGGTAAATTTTTAAATTTTTCCTGCTTTTCTTCTAAAAGAAATATGTTGGAAATAGATATTTATTTTCATGGTAGACAGTAACAGTGTCTTCTTTCACTAGGAATTTGTAAAGGTTTAGAATATCACTAACCTACCAAAAGAAGCAATAACATTTCAACTAACCACATTCTACTCTGTCCTTTAGTAGCGATGAAATACTGGGGTCTATTGGAGGACATAAGTTGTTTGAGCAGGCATGAAAGGAATCGGTAACCTACCAAAAGAAGCAATAACATTTCAACTAACCACATTCTACTCTGTCCTTTAGTAGCAATGAAATACTGGGGTCTATTGGAGGACATAAGTTGTTTGAGCAGGCATGAAAGGAATCGATAGGAAGACGCTTACCTACCAGTCTTCTAGACAGAAGTGAGCAGTAATTAGAATCCCATTCACCTCCTACACCAGATGTTAACGTAATAAAAAAGCAAGCACTGGAGGTCTAGCTCAGGGCTCAGCACCTAAAAGCCGCGTTAGCTTGTAACTCAGATATCCCTGCCTGTGTGGGTAAAAAACAACTGTGTGGATGAGTGTGAAGCCTGAAATGGAGATTTCAAGAAATGGCAAATTGGCTCCTTTTTTTTGTTTTTTTGTTTTTGTTATGGGGATCCAAACCCCTGACCTTGGTCATATAATACCATACTCTGACCAACTGAGCTAACTGGCCAGCCCCTAATGTGTTCTTCTTGAAATGGTGTTATTAATATTGCCCAAATATTTTCCGTTATATCAAGGAAGTATACAAATCAGTAGGATGTAATTTATTAGGCCTTGATAGAGATCTAGAATTATGAACAAACTCTGTCCTTAGCAAGTAGATTCTTTTGATGTTTCCATAGCTTTCAGAGTTAGAAGAAAGTTGCCTTTCCAAATATTTAAAAGTATATTCCTGTGAACATGAGCGGATTTGTACTATTAATTCATTAAAAATCTATTCTAAATAGGAAAATACATTGCTTTGATATTATGAAAAATGATAATAGCCTTGAAGTAATTTGTTGTATCACCATGGAATTCAGATATCTGATACATGAAAATAAATAGTTGAATTATCTAATTTAATGTGGATATTTTAATTGATGTGCATATTTAATTTTCATTGTGTATATTTTAATTCTGAATTGTTTTAATTTTCCAGATTTTTAGACTTATCCGTAATACGGTAGGACAGAAGAATTTGGCATCCAAAACATTGGTGGATCAAAGATTTCTGATTTAATTTATTGAATAGATAACTTAAAGACTTAATCATGGCTAAAAATGTCATGATAGGTTAGTGTGCCATATTTTTCAAAACTTGTAATACAAATTATTCTGCTCTTATTTGTTTTTATCTGCAGAAAGATCTATTTTTATAACTTGTGAATACATAACTTGCTTTGTGAATATATAATGTGACATAGTGGAAAATATTCTTTCCCCATTATGCGTGATATTTAATTTACTAAATAATAAATTAGCACTGAGATGAGGCAGAAAAAAAACCCTAAATGTTGCTTTCAGCATAACACTTTTAATAATAATCAAAACAGTTCCACCATTTGTAGATTATTTAATAAACTGGGTTATGCCTACATTTTCTCATATTGACAAAATTATTTGATTCCAAGTTCAAGACTAGTTTTCAGTTCAGTATGTTCATGTTTTTCATATTTAGGGTTAAATAAATGTTGGAAAATATTTTTAAGTTGTCTTAGAAATTTTTAATTGTACTTTCGCTTTCTCAGTTTTCTTCATTGTAATTGCTAACCCTGTTTGACAATGGACTAATTCACTATTAGATTAATATATATCTCCTGTAGTGGTACTTATATTCGTACACCTGTTTTATTAGGTCAGTATACTCTTTCCATGAAGTGTGTTTACATCTCTAATGTGGTTTACATTTATTAAGCTATAATGTATGACATTTTTCCCAATATAATATCTCCTGTAGTGGTACTTATATTCGTACACCTGTTTTATTAGGTCAGTATACTCTTTCCTTGAAGTGTGTTTACATCTCTAATGTGGTTTACATTTATTAAGCTATAATGTATGACATTTTTCCCAATATAGTTTTTAATAAATTTTTAGTTACTTAATATTTTAAGAGCACTCCTCCAAAGTTTTGCTCTTTAATTATGTTTAAATATTGTAATAACAAATAAACTGTAAATTTATCATGTTATGTTGACAAGGTGATTTATTGAAAACAAACTTAGGCAATATAATTGAAGTAAATTCTGAGTCATGTAGCTAATAATTTTTCATGATCTTTTTCTTTAACATACTCTATAATAATCCTTTTCATTGCATATAAAGTACTTGAAAGGCCCTTATATTTCAAGTGTAATGGTCATTAAGCCCCAAATCAGTATTTCTGACTGCTTTTTGTGTTAATACTGTGTAAATGCTTAAGTGTAATGCTCTGTAAATATTGTTTATATTTCTGAATTGAAAATATATAATAAAAGATTTGGTGTTTCTGACTCATGTTTGATTAATGTATATTTCATGAACTAGCATATAGGAATATGGCACTACTGGAGTGGGGGTCTCCAGCCATTGCCAAAGTTGAATTTTTCATGTTGCCCTGAATCTTGAGGATGACTGAGGAGAAAGAGGGAGGTCTAATGAGTTGAGTCTTTGAAACTCCAGTTTCTGAAGGATCATAATATGAGGGTGCATTTTTAAAAGCTGCAGTGATAAATAAATGTACTGGCAAGGATTTTTAAAATCACTCATTCTGAAGCATATGAAAGAAATTCAACCCTCATTCCACATGTGAGAAGTTAATATTAGTGCAAATGTTGTTTTAAATGGTAAATCTCAAGATATAGGATCAGTTGGCTCACTTGCTGATAAATTAAAACAGAGAAAAACATTTTTAAAAACATTCTAAATTAGTTTTATACAATATTACTTTTTATTTTGGTTAGATACATAAGAACGTATTCAAATTTTCATACACTGTTGGTTCCTTTGTTCACAATTGCCACAATTTAAATTTTATGATCACATGCATAATTTTCCACAAGATCAATTATCTTTTATTTCTGTAGCACCAAGTCACTATACTTTGCATCTTATATACCTAATTTTATTGATTACCTAGAAACATTTGATGTATCTCTTGATCATTTAATAATGAAATAAACCCTAGAGAAGTTTTTTAAAGCTGTTGTGTACTTTGTATACTCTTTAAAAATGCACAGGCCCCTAAACTTTGCCCATGAGAGAGGCAGCAAGGGTAGTGGTGGAGAGCACAAACTCTGGAGCCAGACAGATCTATGTTCAAGTCCTGGCTGCATCACTTACTAGCTGTGTGGTTTGGGCAAGCTGTGATTAAATTTCCTTATCTGTAAAAGGGATTAACAGTACCTACTCAAAAAGTTATTAGGAAGATTAAATGAGTTAATATGTGTACAGTGTTTAGAAGAGTGCCTGGCACATAGTAAATGCTATGTAAGTGTTAGCTACATGGTGGTGGTGGTGGTGGTGGTGGTGGTGGCAGTATTAGTAGTAGTTAGTCCCATTAATATTTCATTCTGAAAGAAAGACTCAGATTAGTCCCACTGGAGCCTACATGAAGACACTGTCACATAGCTGGGAGTCTTAGAAGTAGTGGTAGACAAACTGCCTGCCCCAAAGCAATCTGTGGGCTTTGAAAAATAACTTTTCTGGTATTATAATTATTATGATAATTACAGTTATTTTTTTATTGTAATTATTACAAAGAAATACATGGCCGTGGCCTGAGGATAAACAAATGACCAGTGGAATGGAGTCTAGAAACAGAGCCACAGATATATAGTTACTTAATTTATGACAAGGGTGGCATGCAATGCAGTTGAGGAAAGTGTTATTTGAACAGTCAATTGAATATCTCAACAGAAAACCATGAATCTCTACCCCTTCATCACACTTAAACAAAAAAGAATTTTAGGTAGAGGGTAGATCTAAATGTGGGAGGTTAGATGATGACGTTTCTAGAAGATAACATAGGGGAATATGAGGGGTCTTCAAAAAGTTCATGGAAAGATTAATATTTCAATTCCATTTTTCCACAAACTTTTTGACATACCCTTAAATATTCATGTCTTTGGGGTAGGCCAAGATTTCTTAAGACCCAAAAAATATGAACCATAACTTACCAATTGGATACATGTTTGCATGTTACTTTACAACTTACATCACATTTACATTTATGTAAATTTACATTAAATATAAATTTGAGGTTTACATTAAAATTAGGAAATCTGTACATCAAAAGACTTCATTATACAAATGAAAAGGCAAACCTAATATGAGAAAAAATATTTACAAACCTATCTGACAAAGCACTCCTTTCCAGAATAAAGAACTCATCAAATCAATAAGGAAAAGACAGACAACACAGTAGAAAAATTAGCCATAAAGCAAATGTACTTCACAGGGCCTGGTTTTCCAAAGCCTTGCAGTTTCAAATATTGACCTTGCAAAGGACAGGAAATTTCCCCAGGCTATATAGTCTCCATTGTAAGATAAAGAATTGTAACACAGCAAGGTTGTGGACTCAAAACTTGCAGTTTCAAATATTGACCTTGCAAAGGACAGGAAATTTTCCCCAGGCTATATAGTCTCCATTGTAAGATAAAGAATTGTAACACAGCAAGGTTGTGGACTCAAAGACAGACAGGTTACTGATTGGTATGTAAAGATATTGGGAAATTGCTGTAAGAAGAGAATGTTTGCTAAAATCAAGCTTTTGTTAGTGGATCGACTTAACTGCATGTTACCAGCTTCTATTGTTAAACTTATTAAACTGTACTTAGCAAAAACCTCACCTATGTTCTCCTCCTGTAACTTCCTGGTCTGGAGAATAAATGTGGGAAGAGAACCCCAATTCAGGGTTAATTTCCCAAATGGAAGGAATGCCTCTATCTTGAAGGTTCTGGGAGATTAACGCCTTTCTGGGGCTTTTCACTGCTCAGAAGGGATGGGCTTTGAGTAATCTTTGGCAGCTCCGTCACCCATGGGAAGAGGGGTGACAAATCCATGGGAGGCAAAGAAACAAAAAAACTTAAAAACACTAAGTGTTGACAAGGATGTGTAGAGCAAATGAAATTTCATACTACGTTTACTGTGTAAAATGACAGGATTAGTTATAATCTGTAACTTTCGATTGGATTATTCTGAATCTTAGAGACTTGAAGACCTGAAGTCTTTGTAGTTTGTGTTTCACCAAACCCATGAAAGACAGCAGATGGCAGTAGAGAGCACATTAAGCTCTTGAGGACAGGGCTGGGAATCTTCTTACAGTTCTCAAAGGTGGGTGCGCTCACAGGAGGGCAGAGCCAGAGACACACTCCCCTCCCTCCATTTCACTACATTGACCCTGCTCCTAACTTCTGTTGTCTCTCCCTTTACTGCACCAGAGTGTTGGGCAGCTCAGATGACAAAAGCGTATTCTCTATCTAGTACTGAGTTTTTTTAACCCAGGTTTGGGAATTGAAAGCTAAAATTAGAAATATGTTTTCATCCATTTCCTAGGGAAGAGGGTTACAAAACAGGTCACACCTCAGAAAAAAAGAGCAAATTATCTAATGATTATGGAATCCCTCTCCCCTCATTTTAATGGAATACATATTTACATTAAAATTTTTTTAAAATAAAAATATTTTCAGAGTATTAATGTCACTTTTATACATATAATCTCCCCAAATGTGACTCTGTGTGACATTTTCCTTATATACCATGATACACAATATATCATACTGTAATATATAACATACCATATGTGTTAACATTATATGTTATATATTTTAATGGTGCAACTTGAAACTTTCACCGGAAGGCAATACAGTTTCTTCTCTTAGAATTTCTTCTCTTAGATTCTTAGTTTGTCTTACTGTAAGAGTGAGGCCTCCATATTAAGCAAGATTACAGGAGATGTGTTTTCCACATGTATGTATAGGCATATGTGTATTTCCCCCTCCATTTGTTGATTATACAGTATTTGTACATTTTAATACAGTTATGCTGTTACTTTTCTAGTCTGTATCTCTTGTATGTATTCTTTTACTTGATAGAAGCAGAAAAAGAGAAAAATAATCATGTGAAGTCTTGACCTGGCAGAGAGCTATGGATAAGCTGTTATTGGGTCTGGTCTCTACCATTCTGATACCCCTAACTTGTACCTGTTTCTTTTGCTTTTAGAGACAATGGTGGAATTTACATATAATGATCAAAATTGTTTTGAACTGCTGCTTACTCAAGCAACTTCCTAGTAATGATCTGAACTTAGAACTTTCTCATACACATCTTCCAATTATAAATCCACTTTTTGTTTTTACAAATGACAAAAAATATGAACAAATTTTTTACGAAGATTTACATTCCCCTTCCCCCAATCATTTTGGACACTTGGGCATAACCATGTAACAGAAAGGGGAACTCCTGGGAAACTGGTGGTACCACTTATACTCTCTATTAAGGAAAAGGGCAGGTCTGTTTTGATCACTATCCTATCCCAATTGTCTGGCATTGCTCTTGGAACATAAGAGAGACACTCAGTAAATATCTGAAGGAAGAAATAAATGAATGGGCATTTTGGTTGGAGTTATTGATCATTTTAATGAAGAGCCCCTGGGTGAGATCTCATGATGCCATTACTGTTTGCTTCTATGGAGCATAAACACTTGCAAACATGTATCCAGTGCTTACAAGTGCCAGGTACTGTGCTAGGTGCTAAAGATATATAGCTGGGTAAGATATGGCCTCAGCTTTTATAGAGCTTATAGTTGAACAGAAAAGACTGAACAATAAATAAATACAAGTATAATATGAGGCTACTTCAAAAAGTTCAAGGAAAAATGGCATTAAAAGATAATACAAGTCCTTCCAAGAACTTTTTGAATACCCCTCATAAGAACTGTGTTAGTTTTCTGTTGCTTCTGTAACAATTACCACAACTTAGTGGCTTAAACCACATAAAATTAGTATCTTACAATTCTGGCCACTACAAGCCTGAAATGGCTTTCACTGGACTAAAATCAAGTTGTCCAAGAAAAGCAGGGCTGCGTTTCCTCTGGAAGCTGTAGAGAAGACTCCTTTTCTTGTCTTTTCCGGCTTTCAGAGACCACCTGCACTCCTTGGCTCTTGTACGTTCCTCCATCTGAAAGCCACAAGTGCAGCATCTTCAAATTTCTCTCTGACTCTGACTCTTCTGCCTCCCTCTTTCACTTATAAGGACTTCTGTGTTTACATTGGGCCCACTGGACAATTCAGGATAATTTTCCCATCTCAAGATCCTTAGCTTCATCACATCCATAAAGTCCCTTTTGCCATGTAACGTAACATATTCACAGATTCTGGGGATTAGGACATGGATATCATTCAGGGGGCCATCATTCTGCCCACCAGAAGCACTGTCTATCTACAGGGTACAATGAGAACATAACAGCAGCATACCTATAATAGTTTGGGTAGTCTGGAAAGGCCTGTGAAA